CATTCCCACAGAGCTGCTTTAACTAAAACTTCCCACAATAGAAAGGACGCAGAGACCCTGGAACGCTCACAGTTGCAGACAAATTATATATTTTTTAATTTGGCCAGTCATGGGGCTTGAACTCAGGTCTGGGTGCTGTCCCTGAGCTCTTTTGCTCAAGATTAGCCCTCTACCACTTGAGCCACAGTGCCATTTCAGATTTTTTCTGAGTAGCTAATTGGAGATAAGAGTCTCACAGCCAGCGTGGGTGGCTCTTGCTAGTAATCCTAGCTACTCAGGAGGCTGAGATCTGAGGATCATAGTTTGCAGCCAGCCTGGGCAGAAAAGTCTCTGTGAGACTCTTATCTACAATTATCCTCTCAAAAACTGGAAGTGATGCTGTGGCTCAAGTGGTAGAGCACAAGCCTTGAGCACAAAGAGGCTCAGGGACAGGCCCTGAGTTCAAACCCCACAACCGCCACCACCAACAACGAAAGTCTCATGGATTTTCCTGCCCAGGCTACAAGCGTAAGCCACCAGTGCCTAGGCTGTAAAATTATATTTATACTGATCCTGTCAATTCTACCTAGATATATGCATATATGCCTGAGAAATGTCTGTATAGACTTGCCAAAAAAATCTACTAAATAATTCAAAGTTGCACTATTTTAATAGCATAAAATGGAAATATATATACAATATATTTATTTCCATATATGTTATGGATATATATATATATATATATGATTTATTCAATGGAATAGCAACAAGAATGAAGAACTACTATTCTACTATGCAGAAACAGACATTATAAGTTGAGAGGAAATGGCCAAACACAATAAAGCACATATTGTCATTCCATTTGACTGGAGTTTAAAACCAGGCAGAAGCTGGGGTTGGTGTCTCACTCCTGTAATCCTAGCTACTCAGGAGTCTGAGATCTGAGGATCCCGGTTCAAAGCCAGCCCAGGCAGGAAACACTGTGAGACTCTTATCGCCAATAAACCACTCAGAAAACCAGAAGTGGCACTGTGGCTCTAGTAGTAGAGCACTTGCCTTGAGCTGAAGAGCTGAGGGATAGAGCCAACGCCCAGAGTTCAAGCCCCACAACTGACTAAATAAATAAAAAAAAATAAATAAAATACTAGGCAGAACTAACCTCTAGAGTTAAAAGTCAAGAAAGAAAAAAAAAAAGTCAAGAGAGTACTCTCCTGGTTAGGAGGTGGTTAGTGACAGAATTGGCAGGTGTTTCCATTTGTATATTTTGGCCTCTTGTGAATCTTGTAAGAAAATGAGGTCTTGGGGCTGGGAAGATGGCTCAGTGGTAGAGCGCTTGCCTTGCATGCCTGAGGCCCTGGGTTTGATTCCTCAGCACCACATAAAGCAAAATGAAAAAAGCCGGAAGTGGCGCTGTGGCTCAAGTGGTAGAGCACTAGCCTTGAGCTGAAGAGCTGAGGGACAGCGCCCAGGCACAGAGTTCAGGACCCACGGCCGGACCCCCCCCCCCCAAAAAAAAAAAAGGAAAGAAAAAAGAAAATGAGGTCTTACTGTTTGGGTTTGTTGTTGTTTGGGTGTGAATTTTGTGTTGTTTCCTTAAAGATAGAGTCTCAGTGTGAAGCCCAGGCTGGCCTCAAACTCTCCATCTTCCTGTCTCATCCTCTGTGGTGTGAGATTATAGATGTGTAGATGTGTTACTATGCCTGCCAGTAGATAAGTATTTTAATTAGGATCAAAATGACTATGATTTGACAACACTACACTTTGAGCTTTACATTTCCTGTAACTTAGCCAACTGGTTGGCTGATAGTCATGATGTTTTTTGTTTGAGACCATGGTCTTACTACATAGCCCAGGCTGGCCTCAGATTCCATATTCTCCTGCCTCTCAAATGCTAAGATTACAGGTATGAACAACCATACCACTTTATTTATTTATGTTTGTCTTTTTCTATGCCAGTGGGGCTTGAAGTTAGGGCCTGTGTGATGTCTCTTAGCTTTTTCTGCTTAAGGCTGGTTCTCTACTTCCACTTCCATATTTTGGTGGCTAATAAGAGTCTCAGGGACTTTTTTGCTTGGCCTGGCTTTGCTGAAATCCTCAGATCTCAGTCTCTTGAGTAGCTAGGATCACAGGTGTGAGCCATCAGCACCAGCCCATAGTGACCTTTCACAACCAACTTATAGCTAAATGGACCATGGCACATATATACAACAGATGGTGTTCTAGATCTTCATCTCCACAAACTAACATTTTTGAGACAGTACGCTTCATTGTACTACAAATCCCAATGATGTCAGACTGCCAATGGAGACATCTCAACTCTGCAAGTAATCTTTAGGAAAAGGCATTCAAGCACTCTTATGGTCTGGCCCCACCCCCTTCAGCAATGTTCAGGGTTTAGAGAAGTGATTGGATCTTCAGGGCTCTGACCTCCGTATCAATGGATGCACCCGTGATGGGTTCATCATTTGATGGGCATTTGGGAAGTGATGGTCTAGTTGAATGGAGTGGGTAGTTTGGGACATTCCCTTGGGAGCTATGTCTTGCCCTCTCCCTGGCTTCCATGAACAACTTTGCTCTGCCATGAGTTCTTTATCATGATGTTCTGCCTCACCAACACCTCGAAACCACAGAGCCCAGTGACCATGGCCTGAAAACCTGCAACTGTGGGTCAGGATAAACATGTCCTCCTTTGACCTGACTTTCCCACAGCAATTGAAAGGTAACAGAGACACCAGATGCCCTGCCCTAGTGAGGCAAAGCCATTAATGCATTGATCTCAACTAATGACAACCCAGACCTTGAAGAGACAGGTGTCTGGACCCTTTGAGCAATTTCTTCTGCACACATAGTCTTTGGTTCTTCATTAGTACTGTTGGCTCAAGTAATTTTCTTTTGTCTGTCATGCAAGAAACAGGTTCATTCCAGAACTATCTTTGTCTCGTGGTTTATAATTTGATTACAGAATAAAAGACTCTTATCCCCTCACCCTACCTCATACACAAAGTAACAGAATCATTGAAATGAAAATTTCACCTGTTATTGGGGAACTGAGACACTCTGGCTGGTCCAGTGTAACCAGCATGTGTTGGCTTCAAGGGTGCTGATATATATGTTGTACCTCAATAAAATGTTCATCAAAAGTACAAAATAATTTCAACTGTCTGAGAAAAATGCAACACAGATTGGTTATGAGGATCTTATGTGATGGACTGTCTCTTGCTTTATTCCCTTAGGTCAAGCAGAGCACCAGGTGCTTGCTCACCTGCTTGCCCTCAGACAAGCCATTTGGACCTGGACTCAGCTGAAATTCCCCTCACTCCAGGTGGAGCATTCCACTGTAGGCTTGGCCAAGGACACTGCCCTGAGCCCTCAAGAGACCATAGCCCATATTTTTATTTTCTGCTTCCTTGGTAAGCCCTATATAACCCATCCCAAAATCTAGTCCCTTGCACAACCTCCACACTGGTGGGAAGCTCTATGCCCCTCCCTGGCAATGAACAATCCTAGCCGTTGCTGAAGGGGTCTGGCCTATTCCTTTTCTGTTCTCCTCCATTTTCCTAACACCATTAAGGAACAGTATCAATCTTGTTGTTAGGGTTGTTAAATGGCCTTGTGAACATGTACTCCCCCCCCCCCTTTTTCCTTTTCGCCCTGGTCCTGGAATTTGAACTCAGGACCTTGCCCTCTTACTTGGTTTTTATTTCAAGGCTGGCACTCCACCATTTAAGGAACATTGAATATTTTGCTGGTTAACTGGAAAGGCATCTTCTACTCTTCTGGCTGTGAACCAGGATCTTCAGACCTCAGCCTCCTCAGTAGCTAGGATTAGAGATGTGAGCCATCAGGCGCCTGGCTTTTTTTTTTATTATTATTATTGTAAGGTCCGCTCCTGGATGGCGAGCAGACTCCACCCTCCTCGCAGCAAAGTCTCCACCCATTACCTGCGTTACCTAGGCAACTGGCACACCTGGAAGAGGTCACATCTGCATCCGCTGAGGTCACACCTGAATTTGATGTGGCTACACCTTTCTCCGCCCATACCCTAGATAAGGCCTAGCCCAGGCCCAGACGCTCTCTCTCGCTGCTCTTTTCTAGTTCTCTCTGCTCTCTTGCTGCTCTTTTCTAGCTCTCTCTGCTTTCTCTCTGCTCTAGCTCTTTCCTCTCTCTCCCAGCTCTCCCTCATTCCCAGGCCTTTCCCAGCCACGTGGAGTGGCAACTTTGCCTGGTCCCAGCAGGTCTACTGAATAAACCTACCCCTTACCTGAATACCACGTGAGTGCTGGTGCTGTTCTTACTCGGCAACCTCTTTTTAAAAACCTATCATTATTATTATTAGCTAATCTGTTAGAGGCAAATACTTAAGCACTCACAGATGACATAATGTGGTGGATGGGGTTTGATTTAAAATAAGTCCTGGGCTGGGCAGGCTCGATTGAACCGGAGCGATGGGCCTAAGTTGCTTGAGCCCGTAAGTACCTACCCGAGGGACCATTAAACTATCATCTCCACTTCTGTAGATGCTTAACATAGTCTGCCAAAATGGAAAGCGAGTAAGGCTATTAAAAAGAAAAAGAGAGCAGAGTTGGTGGGGTGATGCGCTGCGTGGTCGGGAGCCCTGGAAAAGAGCTTTACGCAATGCTGTCTTAATATTATTTATTACGGTTAATTTGGCTCCTAGCCCTGTTGGTTCCCTCCTCTCTCCGTAATGGTTTATCCCACTCTCCCGGGTTCTTCGCCACGGTTCCGTTCCTACTAGCTCCCAGGCTGCCCTCCCCGCCGGCAGCCCCAATGGTTTAGCCCGGCTTCCCCAGGGGAAACCCCGAAGGGCGGAGCGCGGGCCTCTGCCAGGGGCGGCGTTCCCCTCCGCGAGTCCACTTGGATCGCTCCGCGTCAGGGGAGGGCCGGTCTTCGTGGGCAGGGCGCGATTCCTGGGCTCTGATTGGTTACATCCGAAGTAAACATCCGGCGAGTTGGGGCGGGGCCGGAAGTGGGAGAAGAAGGCGGCGGCTGGGGCGGTTTTGGGAGCTTCGCGAGTCGGAGTCGGTGCCGCCGTGTGCCATGGGCTGGGCTGAGGCGCCCTGAGGGGCCGCGGGGGCTGGGCCATGGCCGGCGCTAGGGCCGCCGCCGCCGCCTCGGCGGGGACCTCTGCCTCCTCGGGCAGCCCGCCGCCGCCGGAGCCGGGGCTGGGGGAGCTGCTGGAGGAGTTCTCCCGGACGCCGTACCGGGCTAAGGACGGCGGCGGGACGAGCGGCTCCAAGGTGAGTCCCGAAGGGGCACCGCGGGCACCCCCGCCGGGCCGGGGTCCGGAGGACGGGAGCTGGGGGGAGCGCCCTGCGGAGGACGGGGCTTTCTCCCGGGTCGGGGCCCCCAGGGACGCGTGGGGCTCCGGACCCGTGAAAGGAGGCCGAGGGCCCGGGGCCGAGGAAGGAATTGCCCCTGGGGTTTGCCAGCAGGGTCCGAGCCGAGGGCTGAGGTGCCAAGGCCGGAGAGGAGAGCGGGAGGGAGACAGTATCCCGCCCAGCGTGCCGAGAGGGGGTGTCTGGACAAAACACCCCAAATCTTAAGTGAAAATAGGCTGGGGGTGCCCCCGGGTTAGAGGTCAGGTGGAGGGGGCCAAGGGTAGCGGGGCAGTTCGGAGTCGGACGAACCCGAGCGTGTCGCCTCCTTATAAGGGCCCAGCATGACTTCGGCCCAGCCCTCCCCTTCCTCCACCCCGCAGGAAGACAGTGCACACACACACACACACACACACGCACACGCACTCGGCCTCCACGTTACACACACACGCACACACACTCGGCTCCAGACACACACACACACACACACACGGCCTCCACGTTACACACACAGCACACACTCGGCCTCCACGTTACACACACACACACAGACACACACTCGGCCTCCACGTTCCTTCATCCGAGGTTCTCAGTTCCTCTTTTCCCTCCCACTCCCTTGGGGTTTCCTCGGGGCATCTATAATCACCAGACCTGGCCGGCTTCCGGCCTAAGAAAACCCACCTAAGCGCCGGCTGGTGGTGAAATGGGAATCTCACTGATCCTTTCACCTCTCCTTCCCACGTGGGTTTGGCAACTTCGATCAGATCAGCTTTCCAGTGCGACTCTCTTCCATCCTCGGCCTCAAAGCGCTGGGATTTGGCTGGGACATACTGTAGGTGGCATCTGCAAGTCTTTGAAGTAACTCAGGGAAGGAAGACCTCAGTAAGAAAGGGGCTCTCTTTCCAAATAACCAAGTGTTTTTCAGAGCATCAGCTGGGTTACTTGTTAAGAGTAACCTAGAATTGGCGCTTTTTTGGACTGTACTCTGGCATTTATTCTGAGGTTTTTAGTTTGCTAAGCAAGTACTCTGCCTTATACTCCAGTCCTTTTGGCTTTAATATTTTTTTATCTAGAAGGTAGTTGGGATTACAGACAGGTATGTACCAACTTGACTAGCTTTAGAATTTGCATTTTTTTAGCAGGCTTGATAATTACATACCCTGAGGAAGCCATTATGAATTATTAGCTTCCTGAGGGTTTTTTTTTGGACCCCTTTTGCATCTTACCCCTGAAAATTACAGTTGTCATGTTATACTTGACAGTAACCCCAAGCTAGCCTTAGTGTCTCTTTGGGATCCTTGAGCTCATTCAAAGTTGTTTTTTGTTTGTTTGTCAGATGGGGCTTGAACTCAGGGCCTGGCTGCTGTCCCTGAGTTCTTTTGCTCAAGGCTAGTGCTCTACCACTTTGAGCCACAGCTCCATTTCCAGTTTTCTGGTGGTTTATTGGAGAGAATAATCTCACTGTCTTTGAACCTCCATCCTCAGATTTCAGCCTCTTGAGTAGCTAGGATTACAATTCACCTGGCTGTTTTTTCTTTTATTGGCAATAGTGGAGTTTTAGGGTCTCAAGCTTGCTAGACTGTAGTGATGCTGTGGAGCCAGACCTCCAGCCCTGTTTTGACTTGTTATTTCCAGGATAGAGGTCTTGCCTCACACCTGGACCCATTCTGAGTTGCAGTCTGACTAACATTCCTATCATTGGTGGAACCACAGGCATGCCCCCACTACATTCGCTGATAGGTTGAGATGGGGTTGTACTGACTTCTATCTGGGCTGACCTTGGACCATAATCTTCCCATCCTCAACCTAGCCAAGTAACTAGAGTTACATGTGTGAGCCGTTGATACCCACTAGGTGGTTTGGTTTTGAGACACCAAGGTCTGCCCTGATGCCATACTGATATCCTGATTCCAAGTTGATCTTAAACATGGGGTCCTCCTGCCTCAGCCTCCTGTGCTGGGATTATAGGTGTATACCACCACTCCCGGCTTTCTTACAAAGTTCTTCTGATGTTAAGCAGATGGTGTGTAAGGAGGCAGTTTTTACTGATGACACTGACAAGAGTCTGAAGGTACTAGATAGGTTCAGGGAGGTAAGGAAAGCCTGCTGTCCAAGGAACATGATGGATTATTGCCAGTTATACTAGCTTAGAGTAAGAGTAAGGGTTGGTTTTTGGTTTTGTTTTGAGACAGTGTCTCACTGATTAGCCCTGGCTATCCTCAGACTCATGATGATCCTCCTGCCTCAGCCTCCCAAGTGCTGGGAGGACAGCAAGATTTCTTACATTTTATGGGTCGTCCACTCATTTGAAGTTAATGAAAGCTATACTCCAGCTGGGTGCCAGTGGGTCACACCTGTAATCCTTGCTACTTAGGAGGCTGAGATCTGAGTATCACAGCAGACAAATCCAGAGATTTTTTTTTTTTTTTTTTTGGGTCCGGTCGTGGGGCCTGAACTCTGGGTCTGGGCACTGTCCCTCAGCTCTTCAGCTCAAGGCTAGTGCTCTACCACTTGAGCCACAGCGTCACTTCCGGCTTTTTTCTTATGTGGTGCTGAGGAATCGAACCCAGGGCCTTGAGCATGCAAGGCAAGCGCTCTACCATTGAGCTACCTTCCCAGCCCCCCAAGAGATTTTTTTAAAAAAATCTCCAATTAACCAGCAAAAAGCTGGAAGTGTAGGTGAGACTTGAATGGTAGAGTGACAGCCTTGAGTGAAAAAGCCAAGTTATAGCATGAGGCCCTGAGATGAAGCCCTAATACTGGCACCAAAAAAAAAAAAAACAAAAAACTGAACAGCCGGGCCCTGGTGGCTCACGCCTGTAATCCTAGCTACTCAGGAGGCTGAGATCTGAGGATCGCGGTTCAAAGCCAGCCCGGGCAGGAGAGACCGTGAGACTCCTATCTCCAATAAACCACCAGAAAACCGGAAGTGGCGCTGTAGCTCAAGTGGTAGAGCGCTCGCCTTGAGCTGAAGAGCTGAAGGACAGTGCCCAGGCCCAGAGTTCAAGCCCCATGGCCGACCAAAAAAAAAAACAACTGAACGCAGCATGACATACAATATGGAGGCAATTCAGGATCCTTCCTGAAGCATTTCACATGTGGTGTAATTAACACGAGGGGCCTGTGACCCAGATTCATGTCTCTTCACAGCATTGAATAATAATAGTCAATCCCAGTGACCTCTCTAGATCCGGGGCTACTTAATTCTCAAATTCAGAACTCAGGAATCTTCCTGTTGTTGGTCGTGGGGCCTGAACTCTGTCCCCCATCTCTAGCTCAAGGCTAGCACTCCTACCACTTGAGCCACAGCACCACTTCTGGTTTTTTCTGCTTATGTGGTGCTGAGGAATCAAACCTAGGGCCTCATGCATGCAAGGCAAGCACTCTACCACTGAGCCACCTTCCCAGCCCAGAACTCAGGAATCTTTATATTCACTTCTTCTCCTCTGTACAGGTTGAGCGCATTGAGAAAAGATGTCTAGAACTGTTTGGCCAAGACTACTGTTTCAGCGTGATTCCAAATGTGAATGGGGATATCTGTGGCCACTACCCCCGGCACATCGTATTCCTGGAGTATGAATGTTCTGAGAAGGAGAAAGACACGTGAGCATCATGTGACTGGGGCCTAGGCACTCACCTGCAGCTGGGCAGGGTAGACTCACTTTCCCCCGGTGCTAACAGGGTGTGATGAGTTGGGATGGCAAGGTGGCATGACATAGAATGAGGGTTAGGAAGTCACAGCCTGGGATTATTTTACCCCTACTCTTCAGTTCATTGTTGTAAGACAGCTGTCACCACTTTTCACCTCTCTGTACAGCCTCAGTGGCTTTTGGGTTTTTTTTTTTTTTTTGTGAGTGTATGTGTCAAGACAGACAAGAGCATTTATCATATAGCCCTTAGCCCCCTAACGTCTAAAATTTGAGTTTACTTCCTGGCTGTCCCATTTTCTGGCTAAGCAAGTTATTTAACCTCTTTGTCCTCAGTTTTCTCATCTATAATTCCCTGCCTCATCTTAATTAATGCCTATAATGACTAGTTAAAACTCTAGAAAAGGTGGCTTGATCAGTACCTACTGATAAATGGTGCTAGTACATGCTGACATGTTTGTTGTAAGAATTAGAAATAAGAGCTACCTTTTTATTTTATGCCTACGTGGCCTGAGTGTTTTATGTAAGTAACAGTTCTTACCAGAGCAGACACTTAAGCGCCTGATGCACGAGGTAGCCCCTAAGTAGTAAACGGACAACTGATCAAACATTGAGGCTCCAGAGTTGCTTTTTTTCCTAGTGTATGTGTGTATTTGTTTTTGAGACAAGGTCTTGGCTATGTAACTACCAGGCTAGCCTCAAAATATCTCAACCTCTCTAGGAGGCTGGGATTTCAGGGTTGCATCAAGACATTTAGCAACAAGACCCCATCTCAAAACTTGGCAGTTCAAGCAATGTAGCAACAAGACTATCTCAAAAAGAAAAAGAGAAAAAGGGGAGGGGGAATTAGGGGAAAAGGGAGGGGGAGAAAGAGGGAGAGAGAGAGAGAGAAAGGAAAGGAAGAAACAGCAAAAAGAGAAGAGAAGCTGGGTGTGGTGGTGTTGCATGCCTGTAATTCCAGCACTTAGGAGGTGGAAGCAGGATTGGAAGTTCCAGGCCAGTCTCGGCTACAGAGTGATTATAGACAAGTACCACCTCAATTTAGAATAGGGTCATGATCATCAGGCCAAGTACTTGAGGATTATGCGTGGGTGTTACTGGTTTTGAGCACTCATTAGGGTTATAGATTCTCTGGTAATTCTTCTGGGTCTTCAGAACCAGAATTTCCAGAATCTAATTTCTTAGATCTCCCTAGCTCATCTAAGCAGCTGCATGTCACTGGGATCCAGAGAAGACTTATGACCAGAGGAACAACCTAACTAACTCAGAAGGATTAGAGGGAAGAGCCTTAGTTTCCTCATCTGAAGGGTGGACATGTCTATAAAAATGCCTTGTAAGCTGGGCACCAGTGACTTACTCCTGTAAACTTAGCTACTGAAGAGGCTGAGATCCGAGGATCGTGATTCAAAGCCAGCCTGGGCAGAAAAGTCCCCGTGAGACTCTTATCTCCAATTAACCACTCAAAAACCAGAAGTAGAGCTGTGGCTCAAAGTGGTAGAGTTCTAGCCTTGAGCCAAAGAGCTCTCAGGGACCATGTGTAGGCCCTGAGTTCAAGCCCCATGACTGACTAAATAAAAATTCCTTGTGAGGTCATGCTGGGGTTCCCTAAAAAATGGATGAATTAAAGATTCTGTGGAGGGAGTGGAGGCACAGATTAGTTAATAGAGCACTAGCCAGTGAGCAAAATCGTCAGGTACCAAGTTCAAGCCCCTGTCTTGGTCCACCCAACTTAAAACAGATTCTGTGAAGATCCTAGAAATTGTATCACATCCTGGGGGTTTCTAAGCCCCTCCTGCTAGAGTTTGGTACATTTGCTTTCTCTAATCCTGTGACCTACAGGGCTTTGAGCAAGATTTGCTTTTGTTCCCCTTTTGCATTCTCATCAGTGCTGGCCAAGGAGTGGCTGGTGGTTTCATCTGTGTCCAGATGGCATTCTCAACTTTGTGATTGAATCATTGGGGGGATCTCTTCTGCATGGTGTCTCTGAAGTAGGGCCGAATTGTTTTCTAACAAGCTCCCAGCTAATGCCAGACTACCTTTTAGTAGTACATGGAAAGTGAAGATTGGGCCTCAACGAATCTTTTCCTGAAAGGAAACATTTTCATTGCTAATCAGGTCTAGCCATTAAAGAGAAGGAAACTAATGTTCACTGATTGCTTACTGGCTGGCAAGTGTTAGCATTTTGCACACCAGCCTAAGTTGTGTAACCAGCCCCGCAGTGAAGAAGACAAAATTACCCCATCCTATGGAGAATGAAGTTGAAGCCCAGAGAAGCAACTTGCCTCTGTTAAGGTCACCAGATTGGTGTTAAAAGCCAAGTTTCCTGATTCTTTAACCGGCTCCCCCTCTCCCCCTCCCAACCTTGTCCAGCAGGGCTTCACTGTCCAGGCTAGGACCACTGTAATACGTCACTCTAGGGAGTTATTGGAGGGTTGTGTTTTTTGCTTTTGTTGGTTTGGTTTTTGCAAGCTGAGGAATGAAACCAGGGCCTTTGGCATGGTAGGCAAATGCTCCACCATTGAGATATATCCTTGCTTTTTTATTATTTCTTTTTGCTGTGCCCAGGTTGGCCTGGAACTCTGAGTCCTCCCTCCATCTCCTGAGTGCTGATTACAGCCAGCTTTTTGCGGGGAGAAGGGGGCAATGAGGTCTCATTGCTAAGTTGCTAGTGCCTTGTACTTAGTCCTTCCTCAGCCTCCCAAAATACTTGACATCTGGGCCTGGCTCTGGAACTGGTTTTTAACTTTTCATGTCTTTCAGGGCCTTGAAGTGGTACAGAACTGATTTCGCATAGGCCATGCCCATTTGTTTTAGGAAAAGAGAGCTTGTTTCCTCCTTCCCTCCCTCCTTCCTTCCCTCTTTCTCCCTCCCCTCCTGTCCCTCCCCTCCCCTCCTTTCTTTCCAAAGGTCTGAGACTGGGACTCATACCTGACACTTTTCACTTATTGGCTAGTGCCATGCCTCCAACCCCAGAAAGGAGAGTTTGGATACACTTGAATGAGAACAAAATCAGTTGTTTGCTTCTTTATATATTTGGCTCTGGTTTTACTATGTCACTAACCAGACATGGTTAAACATGGTAGAACTAAATTCAGGAAGTGCTTTGGGCTAGTTAACAAACCTCCATAGTTAAGCCTTTCATGTCTAGGATTCGAAGCCTAGACAGATTGCCCTCAACAGCTGAGATACATTAGTCACCAAGGTTTCACTGAGCTACTGCTGGGTCACCTCAGGAATCAGTGAGAAATTGTGTAGATGAAGTCCTTAGCCTTAAAAGTCTGCTGGGAGGGGCTGGGAAGTTGGCTCAGTGGTAGAGCGCTTGCCTTGCCTGTCTGAGGCCCTGGGTTCCATTCCTCAGCACCACATAAGAAAAAAGCTGGAAGTGGCGCTGTAGCTCAAGTGGTAGAGCGCTAGCCTTGAGCTGAAGAGCTGAGGGACAGTGCCCAGGCCCAGAGTTCAGGCCCCACGACCGGACCAAAAAAAAAAAAAAAAGTCTGCTGGGAGACAGAGACCAGTAAATAAGCAACTAATAGTCCAAAAAAAACTAGAGTTAGGCAAGTAGAGGTGAGGTGCTTGGGGGATGTTGACTAAAGCCGTGGCCTTATTGGCTGTTCACAAGTTTAGAATCTCCTCTGGCCTGCTGACTTTTTTGTGTGTGTGACTTTGAGCTAGTACATTCCTAACTTGGTTTGTTTATAATAAGAGGCTGATGTGGATATAAGCCTTGCTTTGTATCTCATATCTTTTTTTTTTTTTTTTTTTTTAATTTAAAATTGGGTCTTGCTCCGCTGCTCAAACTGGCCCCAGTATTCCTGCTTTAGTCTTCCTAGTAGCTGGGAGTAAAGGCATATACCCACCACTATGCCTGAATTTCTCCTATCTGTTAAATAATAATAACAGCAGTATTTATCTCAGCAAGTTTTGAGGAACAAGCAGCCTAGCTGGTCTTAGAAGCTTCCTGATAGAAGTTACGTTACCTTATGTTCTTCATTATTTAAAAATAATTTTTGTTTGTTTATAAATGCTGCCCATGAAAAATAAAATTCAGTTAGTTGATTTAATAAAATACATGATGGGGCTGAGAAGGTGGCTCAGTGGTAGAGTGCTTGCCTTGCATGCAGGATGCCCTCGGTTCTATTTCTCAGCACCACATAAGCAGAAAAAAGCCAGAAGTGGCGCTGTGGCTCAAGTGGTAGAGTGCTAGCCTTGAGCTGAAGAGCTGAGGGGCAGCGCCCAGGCCCAGAGTTCTGGCAGCATGACTGACAAAAAATAAAATACATGTCAAAGAAAATTTTGCTACCTGAAAACATCTTGGTATAAATTTTAGTGTCTATTTGCAGACATAAATATGTAAGCCTACATTCAAAAATGAGTCTCATGTGCCAGACACACAGCTCTCTGCTTATCTCTGCAATAAAAAATTCTAAGGATAAATGGTAATAAAAACTAAAAAATAAAATAAAAATAGAAACTAGTTAGAAAACAGAGGTAGAAGTTGTTGGGATTTTTTTTTTTTTGGGTGGGGAGGGGCAGTTCTAAGGCTTCAACTCAGGGCCTGGGCATTGTCACTGAACTCTTGTGCTCAAGGCTAGCACTCAGCCAATTGAGCCACAGCTCCATTTTCGGCTTTTTGGTGGTTAATTAGAGATTCCTGCCTGGTTTGTCTTCAAATGGAGATCCTCAGAACTCATCACCTGAGTAGCTGGGATTATAGGTAAAGAGCCATCACGCCCAGCCTGAAACTCAGCTCTTTTAAGGAGAGAACATTAGTGTCTTGCTCCACTCTTAATGGCTAGTTACTTGCACCACTGGGAAAATTTTCCACTCAAACCTTTCTGCTTCTTGTTTCTCTTACTGCCAGTAGCTCTAACTGGCAGGGTGAGGCTTTTGCTAAAGGCTGGTTGGTGAATTTCTGAGTATGACCTTTCTTTTAGGGAAATGTGATTTGGTGTGGGTGGGGATTGCTGGAGCTCATTTCTAACCTAACTCTAGGAGTTCCCCTTTCGAACCCAGTGTACCCACTTCTGCACCACTCAGAGTCACTGATAGCTTCTGTTTCTTCTCCTTGACCCCAGTTCCCTGCCCTGTGACTGTTTGGACTGTTAAAGGTTAGGGTTAGGATGTCTTAGAACCATGTGTACCATGACCATGTCATCACATTCCCTAAAGAAATCCCAGAAGTTGCCCTGTGGTTTCCAGACGGTTCAGGGGATACCAGATCTTACTCTGAAAATAAAATGTTGAATACTGTCAACATAACCAATGTTCAACTTCCTGGGTGTAGTTCTGCCTCTTATTTACCAGTGTCTTTATCTGAGTTCATTTTAAAAAAAATCACAGATCCCATAAATATTCTGAAGCCAGAATTCTGTTTTAAGTGTGTGCGTATGTGCACATGCTTGAACACAGGTAGTGGAACTTGAACTCAGGGACTCCTGTTCTTGCTCAGCTTTTTTAGTCATGGCTGGTACTCTTAACACTTGAGCTACAACTTAGATTTTAATACTTAACATATTTTTCTTTTCTTGAAAAATTTAATGTACCAGTGCTCTGAAATTAGGAATTAATAGTATTCATTGAATTTCCAGTAAGTATTTTTTTGTTACTGTTTGTTTTATAACAATAGTGGCGCTTGAATTCAGGGTCTCGAGCTCTTGTTTGTTTTTATTGCTCAAGGCTTATGTGCTCTAGCACTTGAGTCACACCTCCACTTCTTCGCAGTGAGTATTCTTTTTGTTGTTGTAGTTGTAGTTGTTGTTGGTTGTAGGGCTTGACCTTATGGCCTGGGTGCTGACCCTGAGCTCTTTTGCTCAAGGCCTAGTGTTCTACCACTGAGACACAGCGCTACTTCTGGTTTTCTGGTGTTAATTGGAGTTAATAGTCTCTTTTTTTTTTTTTTTTTTTTGGGTCCGGTCGTGGGGCTTGAACTCTGGGCCTGGGCGCTGTCCCTCAGCTCTTCAGCTCAAGGCTAGCACTCTACCACAGCGCCACTTCCGGCTTTTTTCTTATGTGGTGCTGAGGAATCGAACCCAGGGCCTCGAGCATGCAAGGCAAGTGCTCTACCACTGAGCCACCTTCCCAGCCCATGGAGTTAATAGTCTCATGGGGACTTTTCTGCCCAGGCTGGCTTCGAACTGCAATTCTCAGATCTCAGCTTCCTAAGTAGCTAGGATGACAAGCGTGAATCACTAGCACCCAACCCAGTGGATATTCTTATATATGTTTTCAGACCTTGTTTGAATCTGTGGACAAACACACATAAATAGGTGGAGTTCCCACTGGAAAGCCATACTAACCTGCTCTTGCCTGTGTGTTAGGTTTCAGAGTACCGTGCAGGTGAGCAAGCTACAAGACCTCATCCACCGCAGCAAGATGGCCAGGTGCAGAGGACGGTTTGTTTGCCCAGTGATCCTGTTCAAAGGCAAGGTAAGGGCCTCCCTGTAGCCTCAAGCTCCAAGTCCTGTTATGCCTTCATGCACAATATAGAGTCTTTTAGTTCTCTACTAGCCAAAGATCAGTGGCTGGTTCCTGGGTTTCTAGTGTGGTGGGAAACAAGCCATAGAAAACAGATTTGAAGATGGTTTCAGGGCAGTAGGGGCAATTCATACCAGGGTACCCCATTGCTAGTTCAGATCCTAGTTCTAGTTACTTCCTACCTGAGCATGGCCTCAGTTCACTGAAGAATAAAGTGGAAGAAGTATATCTATATCAAAGCTTACAAAATCAAATATTTTTTCTTTTTTTTTTGGCATGGGGCTTGAACTCTGGGCCTGGGTGGTGCCCCTGAGCTCTTCATCCACCATCCCAGCCTCTATTTTTTCATTCTTTTCATCATTAAGTATTTATTGAACATACATTATATTCTAGGCTGTTTCAGACCTCGAGAAATAGCAGCATTTGAGGCAGACAAAAGGCTTCCCCGGGCTGGGAATGTGGCTTAGTGGTAGAGGGCTTGCCTAGCATGTGTGAAGCCCCGGGTTTGATTCTTCAGCACCACACAAACAGAAAAAGCTAGAAGTAGTGCTGTGGCTCAAGTGGTAGAGCGCTAGCCTTAAGCATAGGAAGCTCAGGGACAGCACCCAAGCCCTGAGTTCAAGCCCCAGGACTGGGGGAAAAAAAATCCTTCCCCTAATGAGGCTTATTATTTTAGTATAATTACTGTAGAGTTAATTCCCCAATATGACTTACTTTATCCATCTTGTCATCTTTTGGTATAAGTGATATTGCTTTAACGACAAAGGAAACAGGTTCAGGGTAGCTGAATAACTTGCCTAAGCTTACTTAACATAGAAAACAGAGCTTGGATTTGAGCTAAGTGTGGTGTTCTGTAATCCCAGCACTTGGGAAACTGAAGTAGGAGTATTGTGAATTCTAGGTTACCCTGGGCTATGTAGCAAGACCCTTCTCAAAAAAAAAAAAAGAAGAAAAAAAAAAGAAGAAAGAGCTGATGTTTGAAGCTCTCTAATACCATGTTGCAGTCCACACAAGGCAGCAGTGTGGACTGATGTCCTAACCAATCATTTGCAGAAAGCTGGACATGGCTTGAGAGTAACTGGAGAGCAAGCATGATGCGGATGGACAGTACAGGAGAACACAGAAGTGTAAGGGAGAGGTACCAGGAGGCCTCTACAGACAGTGAGGTTGGTGCATGTCATTGCAGACCATGGAGGAGACTAAATGCTTCTAGGGTGTTGGATTTGCCATGAAAGCCCTTGTGATTTTTGAGTAGTGAAGTCCAGGAGGGCGATGAGCAGTAAGGTAGCCTGCTGAGCAGGTGTCCAAGTACTCTGCAGCCTACAGTTGCAGTCACCCAGCATGGGTGGTGAAGGACTGAGGAGAAGAGAGGCTGAATATTGGCTTAGTCCCTGGTGTGTCTTTGTAAAGGAGAAGGACAATCAGGAAAGACAAGGTGGGAAAGGAGACTGTTGAAGGCTTTTTTGGGTAGATACTTTTTGGCAAAAGTATGTTGAGATAGTAAACCAGATTAAAAATATATACAGGTAAAGTATACACATATCCAAGTGCTTGGCCTAGAGATAGTTTGCTCACGGATCTTTATTTTACAGGAACCAAAGCTGAGTTGGAAAGAGATAGAATACCTTGCCTTCAGAATTATATAGCTAGAGATGGAAAGGGGTTCACGCAAGTATGTCTGTTCCACTTCACTCTCTCAACCTTTCTGCTAAACTAAACTATACAAACTCTTTTGACTAGAAGTGTTAATAAACGGAGTATGTACTCATTGAGACAAAAAAAAAGTATGTTGAAATGCTAGGTCCCAAATCCTTCCTCTTGACATTTAGTGAAGTTTACCAGTTAACAATTTACAGAGTGCTGCTCTGGTAGAGCACAGTGCTTGTCTTTAGAAATCACACGAGAAATACTACAATGTTTTCCCCAGGGTGGTTCACAGATCAGCAGTTCAAGGATGGACTTGTGGAAAATATTCCCTGTCAAATAGGAACAAGAAATTACATTTTATTTACTTATATATGTATGTAAGTATTTATTTTGTCAGCCATGGGGCTTGAACTCTGGGCCTGAGCTCTGTCCTTCAGCTCTTCAGCTGAGGGCTAGCGCTCTACCACTTGAGCCACAGCACCACTTCTGGTTTTCTGGTGGTTTATTGGAGAGAAGAGTCTCATGGACTTTCCTGCCCAGGCTGGCTTTTGAACCTCAATCCTCAGATCTCAGTAGCTAGGATTACAAGCATGAGCCACCAATGCCCAGCTTAAGAAATTACATTTTAAACTTAACCTTCCGTCCAGATTCACAAAAGTGTATCAATGTGTGTATGTTGACAAGGATCAGACTCTGAGGAGTCCTGTAGCAGTCCTTTGTCTGGAGACTGTGAGTAAGGAACTTGTGATTACATTTGGGAAATAGCACATTAAGCAACTCCAGATTCTTGGGTCTTAGTCCAGAAGAGAAGCTTAGACAGGCCCGTGAGGAAAGAGCCCAGGGCCAGCAAACTGCAGAGGGATGGCTTTGAGGTTCTTCGAGGGAACTTGCTGTGGTGGATTGGCTTCACTATGAATTCTGCCGCCTTCTCCCTTTGCATCTTCTCTTAGCTCATCCCTCTTAGCTTTCTGAATCAATGTCCACACATGGCACACCTGCTGCAGTTGTCTGTTCCCTTTGATGTAATTGCTGTGGGGACAGAGGGCTTGCTTATGGCCATCCTCCTGGTGAGCAGACTGGGCAGCATGAGAGTTCCTGCTCCATGGGAAGACACTGCTCTAGAGTAAGCAGTAGGAATCCCTAGTCTAGGTGGAGATCCACAAGACTGTCATTGGAATTTGAGTAGTGAGTATGGCATTCAGAGGGAGTTTGGAGAGGACATACTGCACTCCATTGAAAAGATTTATGCTGCGAACTGGTGACCAGGTCCTCAGATGTGTGGCTCACAGCAGCACTTGTCCCATATGCCAGGGTGGCAGTGTTCCTACCAACACTATTTCAGTGCTGCTTTCTTCTAGACTAGGGAAGGGAGGAAGTTTTGCTCAGAAATGCCTGTCAGCCGGGTGTTGGTGGCTCACACCTGTAATCCTAGCGCTGACTGAGGCGGCTGAGATCTGAGGATCGCGGTTCAAAACCAGCCCTGGCAGGAAAGTCCGTGAGACTCTTCTCTCCAATAAACCACCAGAAAACCAGAAGTGGCACTGTAGCTCAAGCGGTAGAGCGCTCTCCTTGAGCTAAAGAGCTGAAGGACAACGTCCAAGCCCAGAGTTCAAGCCCCACGACCGACCAAAAAAAAAAAAATGCCTGTGTCCTGTACCTTCCCAAACTCACTTCAGTATGGGTAATGCAACATGAAGTAAATGTCTGAATTTATCTCATTTCAGTTAAAGCTGTGACAGTCACAGCTTTTTTTTTTTTTTTTTGGTCCGGTCATGGGCCCTGAACTCTGGGCCTGGGTGCTGTCCCTCAGCTCTTCAGCTCAAGGCTAGCGCTCTACCACTTGAGCCACAGCACCACTTCCGGCTTTTTTCTTTTTGCTTATGTGGTGCTGAGGAATCGAACCCAGGGCCTCATGCATGCAAGGCAAGCGCTCTACCACTGAGCTACCTTTCCAGCCCCTAGTCAAAGTTTTATATTAAAAAATGTTAAAAAACAATTTACTTTGAGATAAGAATATCTTTTTTTTTTTTTTTCTTGTCCTGAGGCTTGAACTCAGGGCCTGGGTACTGTCCCTGAGCTATTCTATACTCAAGGTTAGTATTCAACCACATGAGCCACAGCGCCACTTCCAGCTTTTTCAGTTTATGTGGTACTGAGGAATTGAGACCAGGGCTTCGTGCATGCTAGGTAAGCACTCTATAACTAAGCCACATTCCCAGCCCTACATCTCCTTTTATACAAAGAAAATTTAGCATCCTACTTGATATATGCTAAAATACATGTCAAACCAGGTACAGGGTGCACACCTGTTATTCTACTCAGTAATTAGGCAGGAAGATCAAAAGTTTCAGGCCAGTCTGAGCTATATACTAAGACCATGTAAAAAAAAAAGGAGGGGGAGGGGAAAGCCAGGCACCTGTGGCTCATGACTGTAATCCTAGCTGCTTATTAGCAGGCTGTGATATGAAGGATTGTGATTCAAAAACCAGACCAGGCAGAGAAGTTTCTGAAACACTGTCTCTTAAAATAAACTCAGCAAAAAAGGACTAGAAGCATGGCTCAAGAGGTAGGACACCAGTCAAGGAAGCAGGCTGAGCACTGTGAGCCCCTAAGTTCAAAAACAAGAGGAAAGGCTGGTGATGTGGCTCAAGCTGTCGAACCCTTCTTTAGCAAAGGGAAGACACTGTTTCAGTCCCTGGTACCACCAAACTCTTTTATCTTCCCCCAGTTCTTTCTGCCTGTTGTCTCACATAGACAAGTAAAATACATACCAGGTTTTGAAGACTTAATAGACACATGCACATGCACACAAACACAGTTGGTTTCTTGGAGGATTGGGGACATAGTTGAGACTATGTAGCCCAGGCCTGCCAAGAACTTCTTTGTAGCTTAGGATGCCCTTGAATTAATTATTCTCCTCCTTCAGTCTGCCAAGTCCTGGGATCACAGGTGTGTTCCACCACACCCATTTAAATACTGATTTTTAAAGTAATTACATATTGGTCATATTTTGAATGTTAAGTAAAATTTTGAGTGTTGGAATTAGGTAAAATATTTCATTAAAAAACTGAGGCACCAATAGCTCATGCCTATAATCTTAGCTACTCAGGAGGCTGAGATCTAGGGATCACATTTAGAGCTAACCCAGGTAGAAAAATCCATAAGAGTCCTTCTCTATTTAACCAGATAGGAGGTGATAGGAGGTATGGCTCAAGTGATAGAAGCAAGCTAAGGTGAGAGGCCCTGAGTTCAAGCCCTAGCTTCAGCAAAAAAAATGAGTAATAAATCAGTTAAAATGTATAGTACTAAAGGGTAAAATATACTCCTATACCATTTCTCTTCGTGTTTCTTTGTAGCCTTTGGTGTCACATAGACACTAGAAAGGTTTGAACTCAGGGCCTATACTCACTAGGCTTATGCTCAGCCGTTGTGCCATGGCCCTCAACCCTGTATGTGTCTTTTAAACAGTTGAAATATGGGACAGTTCATCTTTGTTTCCTCCTTTAAGAGATAGAAATCAGATCAGTCACTTTTGTTTACTTATTGTCCTCCTCCTTTAGTGAGTTCTAGGGATTGGACTCTGGGCTTTGCACCTGCTAAACATGTGCTTTCCCACTGAGCTATACGCCCCGCCCCCCCCCCCCCCCCCCCCCAGTCCACTTGTAGTCTTTGTGGCAAGTTGGCCACTAGATTGGCAGATACTGCCAAGTGCTGTTCCACATGTGCAATTTAAACCATTCAGAATAAGCTAACAGGAGACCATTTGGAGTAAACCTTGCTAAGCTATAGAAGCAATGAACTATACTGTGGAGCCCCAAGGCTGAAGAATAGGTGTTGAGAGTTACCGTTGGTGATGGGGTGAGCTCTTTTGCCAGGCCTTGTCTGGGATCTTCTTGAAAAGTTTTGTCTTCTACTTGGGAACTTGGTCACTCATTCTTGTTTATTCAGCTATAATTTTTTTCTAGTTTATCAAGATTCTGGGTTTAATCCCCAGCAGTGAAAACAATCCCACAGCAATACCGACTATATTTCCTTGGTAATATCTTTTTTTTAAAGAGGAGTACTTTGGTTTGAACTTAGGACTTCATGCTTTCTATGCAGGTGCTCTATCCCTGAGCCATGCCACCAACCCTTTATTGCATTGTTTTGTTGAGATTTTTGGTTTTGGTGCAGTACTGGGACTTAAGCTCAGGGCCTTGTGCTTTTGCTTGAATTTTTCACTCACAGCTGGTATTCTGTCATTTGAGCCACACCTCCAGCCCAGCTTTTTGCTGGTTTATTAGAGATAGAGACTTGTGAACTTTTTTATTTTTTATTATTTTTGCCAGTCCTGGGGTTTGAACTCAGGGCCTGGGCACTGTCCCTGAGCTGCTTTTTGCTCAATGTTAGAACTCTACCATAAGCCACAGTGTCACTTGTGGTTTTTTCTGTTTTTGTGGTACTGAGGAATCGAACCCAGGGCTTCATGCATGCTAGGCAGGCACTCTACCGCTAAGCCACATTCCTCACTTTCTTGTGGACTTTTCTACCAGGCTGGCTTCAAACTGAAATCTTCAGATCTCATTCTCCAGAGTAGCTAGAATTGTAGGTGTTAGCCACTGGGTGTCTACCAAGTGTCACTGGTTATTTTTGAGATAAGCTCTTGCTTTCTGCCTGGTCCCGCACCTGGGCTGCAACCCTCCTATTTATACTTGATGCAGCAGAGTACACATTACCATATCCCACTTCTTCTGTTGGAGCGCAGCCTGAAAGCTTTTTTGCCTGGGCTGGCCTGGAACCATTATTGTCCTAATCTCAACATTCTGTGTGACAGGCATGACCACTATGCCCAGCTAATGGTTGGGGAGAACCTCATAAACTTTTTGCCCAGGCTTGCCTTAAACTTGCTTCTCCTGCTCTCAGCTTCCCAAGTTGCTAGCATTATAGTCATAAGCTACTGTGCCTAGCTGATCACTCCTTTTTTTTTTTTTTTTTTTTTAAATTCCTTTTTTTAAAAAAATCCAAAATACAGCCAGAAACTGTGGCTCACACCTAAATCCTAACTATTCAGGAGGCTGATCTAAGGATCATGAATCCAGCCCAGCCCTGGCAGGAAAGTCCATGAGACTCTTATCTCCAATTAATCACTAAAAATGCTGCAAATGGAGCTGTGGCTCAAGTGGTAGAGTGCTAGCCTTGAGCAAGAAAACTCAGGGACAGCACCTAGACCCGAGTTCAAGCCCCAGGATTGGCACCAAAAAAATAAATAGCTCCCTTAATTGTTCCCTTTTCCAGGCACTAGTCACTCATGCTTCAATCCTAGCTACTCAGGAGGCCGAGATACAAGAATTGTGGTTTTAGCCAGGCGCCAGTGGCTCACGCCTGTAATCCTAGCTACACAAGAGGCTGAGATCTGAGGATCCTGGGTCAAAGCCAGCCCAGGCAGGAAAGTCTGTGAGACTCTGATCTCCAATAAACCACTAGAAAACCGGAAGTGGTGCTATGGCTCAAGCGGTAGAGCTCTGGCCTTGAGCTGAAGAGCGCAGGGACAGTGCTCAAGCCCAGAATTCAAGCCTCACCACCCACAAAAAAAAAAAAAAGAATTGTGGTTTGAAAGGAGGAGGTAACAATGCTCGATAGGAAATGTACTCATTACCATACTCATGTAACTATAATCCCTCTGTACAGTATTTCTACAATAAAAAAAAAAAAAGAATTGTGGTTTGAAAGGAGGAGGTAACAATGCTCGATAGGAAATGTACTCATTACCATACTCATGTAACTATAATCCCTCTGTACAGTATTTCTACAATAAAAAAGAAAAAAAGAATTGTGGTTTGAAGCCAGTTCAGGCTAAAAAGTCTGAGAGACTTACCTCTAGTTAATCAGCAAAAATACCAGAAGCGGAGGTGTGACTCAGGTATTAAGAGTGCCAGCCTTGAGCCAGAAAGCTGAGTGAGAGCACAAGGCAAGCCCCAGTACCAGCAACCACCACCCCCCCAGCAAAAAAAGTGCTTCCTTCTAAGCTAAAAAGTTGCCACATGGGCTTTGTAGCAAATTCCAGCTTCTTGATTGTCTTCATTTCCTTCATGTCTCTGGGCTAGTTTTCCTTTTCTCCATCTGTCAGCTGGCAGTGATGCCCAGTGATGCTCCACCTTCCTCATGCCCTGTGAGGTGGTGGTGCTGTTTTGTCAGTACCATGCCCAACATGTGGTACCCGTGTGCCACCACAAGTTTTGTCCATTACTTTTAGTAATGGACAAATGCTTCAGATTTGGGGGAGAGACTCTGGATAAAGGTGGATTAAGGTTTAGACTGGGCTATGGTAGCATCTATCTATGCCAATAAGACTGGGAAGTGCACTAAGACCAAAGCTTCAGTAGCGCCAGGGGTTCTTTAGCTCTGCATGCTTCAGAAAACTGCCTGACGCTGAAAACACTGTTTGTCTTCCAGCATATTTGCAGGTCGGCCACGCTGGCTGGATGGGGGGAGCTGTATGGACGCTCTGGCTACAACTATTTTTTCTCAGGTGAATATTGAGCAGCTTTCTCTGGGACTAAGAATGAGAACCTGGTCATGAAGTAAAGCCCACAGCCACGGTGGCATAGGTGGAGGGTGCAGGCAGCCGGTATGGGATCAGGGCATTCCTTTCAACAGGAGCCAGGAGACAACAAGAATTCCCTCGAGAGGGAACTCAAGAGGACTGCTGTACTTACGGCCTATAATCCTGAAGGATACATGAGGCGTGTCCCTGGGAATGGTTGCTGGGATGGTGGCCCTGGTGGAATCTTCTAGTGGAATCTCCTGGTGGCTGCCCTCAGTGCTGATAGACTGGTTTCTCTGGCAGGGGGTGTAGATGATGCCTGGGCTGATGTAGAGGACGTCACTGAGGAGGACTACACTCTCCGGTCAGTGCTTGGCTGCTGTGGGCAAGGGTTGGGTTGGGGATGGTATGTGCCAATAGCAGCTTAATGCATCCTGGTAGTATGCTGTCATCACAGTGCAGGTGAGTGGATTGGCTCTTTATACCTATCTCCCAAGTCTATCCCCAGGAAATAGTGTACAGAATAGTGGCCTCATCCCAACACTGATTGTTGAATACCTGAGCAGTCTGCAGGCAGAAGGAAAGCACAGCAGGACCTCAGGATCCTACAGGTCCAACACAGTTCCCTAATGGCTGCATTCACTTTTTTTTTTTTTGGGGGGGGGGGTAGGGGAGTCCGGTCCAGTCGTGGGGCCTGAACTCTGGGCCTGGGTGCTGTCCCTCAGCTCTTCAGCTCAAGGCTAGCACTCTACCACTTGAGCCACAGCGCCACTTCCAGCTTTTTTCTTTTTGCTTATGTGGTGCTGAGGATTCAAACCCAGGGCCTCAGGCATGCAAGGCAAGTGCTCTACCACTGAGCCACCTTCCCAGCCCCTGCATTTACTTTAAAGTGTCTGTTGGGATGTTAATTACCAGCCAGGTGTTTCAAAATACCTGAGACAGGTATAGAGTGAGAGCCTGGAAGACTCATCTTTCTCATCTGCATGGTTAATACCACAGAAAGAACTTGATATAGCCAGATGCCAGTGGCTCACGCCTGTAATCCTAACTACTAAGGAGGCTAAGACCTGAGGATTGTGATTGAAAGTCAATCTGGGCAGGAAAGTCTGTGAGGTTCTTTTTTTTTTTGTTCAGTTGTGGGGCCTGAACTCTGAGCCTGGGTGCTGTCCCTCAGCTCTTATCTCAAGGCTAGCGCTCTACCACTTGAGCCACAGCACCACTTCTGGCTTTTTCTGCCTATGTGGTGCTGAGGAATCAAACCCAGGGCCTCATGCATGCAAGGCAAGCACTCTACCACTGAGCCACCTTCCCAGCCCCGACTGTGAGATTCTCTTGTTGTTGTTGTTGGTTGTGGGACTTGAACTCTGGTCTTGGGTGCTGTCCCTGAGCTCTTCAGCTCAAGGCAGGCTCTCTACCCCTTGAGCCACAGCACTACTTCCAGCTTTCTAGTGGTTTATTGGAGATAAGAGTCTCACGTAAGGGCTGGGAAGGTGGCTCAGTGGTAGAGCGCTTGCCTTGCATGCATGAGGCCCTGGGTTCAATTCCTCAGCACCACATAAGCAAAAAAAGAAAAAAGTAGTGGTACCATGGCTCAAGTGGTAGAGCACTAGCCTTGAGCTGAAGAGCTCAGGGACAGCACCCAAGACGAGAGTTCAGGCCCCATGACTGGACCCAAAAAAAAAAAAAAAAGAGTCTCACATAGACTTTCCTGCCCAGGCTGGCCTTTGAACTGTGATCCTCAGATCTCAGCCTCCTGAGTAGCTAGGATTACAGGCATGAGTCACTGGCACCCAGCCTGTCTGTGAGATTCTTATCCCCACCGAAGTACAAAAAACAAAACAAAAAAAAGGCTAGAAGTGGAACTGTGGCTCAAGTACTAGAGCACTAGCCTTGATCAAAAGCAGCTCAGAGTCAGCACCCAGGCCCTACCTTCAAGCCCAGGACTGGCACCAAAAAGAAAAAAGGAAAAAAAAAGAGCTTGGTACAAAACAGTGTTAATGAACCCTTCTAACACTTTCTTCATCACACCTATGCTGGACATTGAACCTAGGGTCCTATACATGCTAAGCAAGCACTGTACTACTGATGCATACCCCCAGCCCAATTTTGAACTCCCCCTTTTTTTTTTGGTCGGTCGTGGGGCTTGAACTCTGGGCTTGGGCGCTGTCCTTGCATTCTTCAGCTCAAGGCGAGCACTCTACTGCTTGAGCCACAGTGCCACTTCCAGTTTTCTAGTGGTTTATTGGAGATAAGAGTCTCACGGTTTGAACTACAATCCTCAGATCTCAGACTCCTAAGTAGCTAGGATTACAGGAGTGAACCACCAGTGCCCAGCTTGAGTCCCTTTAAAGGAAGGAAATGGGCTGGTTTACATTTCTTTTTTTTTTTGGTCGGTCGTGGGGCTTGAAGTCTGGGCCTGGGCACTGTCCCTCAGCTCTTCAGCTCAAGGCGAGTGCTCTACCACTTGAGCTACAGTGCCACTTCCGGTTTTCTGGTGGTTTATTGGAGATAGGAGTCTCACGGTCTCTCCTGCTCGGGCTGGCTTTGAACCTCGATCCTCAGATCTCAGCCTCCTGAGTAGCTAGGATTACAGGCGTGAGCCACCAGCTCCCGGCTGGTTTACATTTCTATACCCTTCCCAAATGGTTCCAAAACCAATACTACAGGGTATTTTTCAAAACTCCTTTGTGTGGTTGGTGTCGCATGGAAAATCTTTAACCAGAGTTGGGCATCTCTGGAATGCACCCTAGTAAGATCACTTGCCCAAATCATGGCTCAGAGCATGACAGAATGTCTTTCTGTGCTTGGGTTCTGCCATTTGCTCTCAAAGCAGTGGAGCTGGCTTGTGCTCAAGAATTTTTGGCTCTTCCAAGGTCAGGTGACCACTGCCTCAGCCAGGGCACCTTCTGCAGCATATGCTGTTCTTCTTGGAGACTGCTGGAAATGTCAAAGCATAGATGTTTTCTTTTGCCAGTCCTGAGGCTTGAACTCAGGGCCTGGGCACTGTCCCTGCTTTTGCTCAAGGCTAGCACTCTACCACTTAAGCAACACAGCACAACTTCTGTTTTTTTCTGTGTATGTGGTACTGAGGAATTGAACTCAGGGCTTCACACATGCTAGGCAAGCATTCTACCACTAAGCTACATTCCCACCCCCAAACATGGACATTTAAAGAAAAAAAAATTATTACTTGGGTGCTGGTGGCTCATGCTTGTAATCCTAGCTACTCTAGAAGCTGAGATCTGAGGCTCACAGTTCAAAGCCAGCCCATGTAGAAAAGTCCCTGTGAGATTCTTATCTCCAGTTAACCACTCAAAAACTGGATGTGGTAGAACACTAGCTTTGAGCAGAAGAGCTCAGGGACAGCACTTGAGTTTAAGCCCCATAACTGACAAAAGAAAAAAAAATAATTGGACAGCTTACTCTTTCTACTTCTACCCAAATCTGCATGGCTGATTAAAGGTAGCCTGGGATTCAAAAAACTTTATATCTTGATCCAGGTGCTGGTGGCTCACACCTGTAATGCTAGCTATTCAGGTTACTAAGATCTGAGAATTGAAGTTCAAAGCCAGACCAGGCAGGAAAGCCTGTGAGACTTGCCTCTAATTAACCACCAGAAAACTGGAAGTGGTACTGTGGCTCAAAGTTGTAGTGTTTCAGTGTTGAGCAAGAAGAATTCAGGGATAGCACTCAGTCTCCAAATTCAAGCTCTATGACCAAGAACAACAACAAAAAAAAACTTTTATATTCCTCCTTGCCTCATAGATCTACTAAGCAGAGGGAATTCATAGAACTCAAGTCTAAGAATTTCAGTCTGTTATAAGTGATGCATGTGGCTAAAAATGGTCCTAAACTGGGAGGGAGGGGAGACGGAGTGGAGAACAACTTTAATGGAATCTCAAAGACTCTATCAGCCACCAGCTGATGCTTTTTAGAACTGAGATTATGTTGAGTCTTCTGGCTTAATGTCAAGCCGTGCCAGAAAGCGCTCTCCCATTCCGACTGGAAATTGTGCTCCTCTTTGAAGTGTCCCAGAGATAGGGATAATCTCTTAGAAAGTCACCTTCTCTCCCTACTCCCTGTGCATCTAGAGAAGAAGAATAAAAGTTCTTGATAATGACAGCTGTCCTTTTCTGAAGGTGCTTTGGCTGAGTGAACACGTGGTGTAACTTTTCCTTCTGACTCTGTTTCAGAAGTGGTGACGTGCATCTTTTTGATAAAGTCAGAGGCTATGATATTAGGCTGCTTCGGTATTTGTCAGTCAAATACATCTGTGACCTGATGGTGGAGAACAAGAAGGTGAAGTTTGGTATGAAGTAAGTATAGGGCACCCACCCTGAAATGGGTCAGGGGGTCATAGGAACATGACAGCTACAGTGTGTGTGCTTGTTCTAGGACTGTCAGTGTATCTTATGCTGTGTCTTCAGATAGCCATGAAGGGTGTGTCTCTCTTTTGTAAACAAGAAACTGAACACAGAGAAGTTAAGTAACTTGCTGGAGGCTGCACATTGGTGATAGTGGATGTCAGGAGTCTATACCCAGTACCCTGCTGCCCCCTTCCCGTCTCTTTAAGTTCTGTGCCATTCCTAACACATTAGAATTTCTTTTAAAACAGAACCAACAATTCAGTGGGTTCCTAATTTTGATTCACTGATTACTGATATATAAAAATAACACATAAGGACCAAATATAACTGTATATACTAATGAAAAGCTTTAAAAAAATGGAACTTGGGCTAGTGTAACAAAATTGTAGGGACTTTTTCCAAAAAATTTTTTTGTCTTATCTGTGGGTTTTTTGTTGTTGTTGTTTGCCAGTCCTGGGGCTTGAACTCAGGGCCTGGGCATTGTCCCTAAGCTTCTTTTGCTCAAGGCTAGCACTCTATCACTTGAGCAACAGCGCCACTTCTGGCCTTTTCTATTTATGTAGTACTGAGGAATCGAATCCAGGACTTCATGCATGCTAAGCAAGCACTCTACCCCTAAGCCACATTCTCAGCCCTTATGTTTTGTTTTAAAGTAATATTTAATTATCTTAAAAGGTTGTCTTAGAAAATAGGGCATAATCAGGCTAAAGTCAGAGCTCAGCCTGCTACTGATATCTTGAACTTTGCTGTGCCCTTCTCCCTTTGTCAGGATGGCCCCCAGTGCCTTTCAGAGGCTGCTTTCCCTGTGTAGAAATGGCCTCTGTGGCTCTCAGAGAATGCAATAGAGCAGAGTTCCCTCACAGGCCCCCATTTCAATCATCTCCTTGATTAAATTTGTCTTGCTCCCCTTTCCAGGGTCAAAGTGACTACACCGCATGCATTGTGGGTATGTGTGGACAGTGATCCTCCAATTTCAGGTTCCAGTTGAGGCTTGCTGTAGTGAAAAAGACCTCTATCATTTGAGATGTTGGAGTAAGATAGAGAAGTTAGATTTCTTAATTGTACTGTTAAAGGTAGTTATTCTTATGTCTGAATGATAGTTTTGGTTTTGTTTTTAGCAGAATGCATCATTTAAAGTTAGGAAACACTCATTTGGGAAACTATGTTTGTGTGCGTGTGTTCAGATGCTCTAGCACCATGTGTTCCTATCTTAACAGTATAACCTCCTCTGAAAAGGTGGACAAAGCCCAGCGCTATGCCGACTTCACTCTCCTCTCCATCCCATATCCAGGTAGGAAGCTCTTTTCTAGTCAAGTGACAGGCTACCTAGGCTGCGGGACCTAGGGAGCCAGGAGCAAGCCTATGCTTAGGTAGGAGCTTGTATCCAGTTAGTGTGGACAGTTGGGCTTTAGTCACTAGGTGCTCACCCGATAGGTGGAATGGTGTCTTAGAAGGGCCTTTCAACTCTAGGTTCCCAGGATTGAGATCTTTCACTGGCACTCAGCAACAGTCAGAACTTGGAAAGCCTTAGCTCAAGGTTTTGTTGTGAAGATGAGATCATGTTCATCCTGCTCAGGCCATGAGTTGTGGGCTTTCATGCGAATGTTTTGCACTGATGAAGATATTTGTGGACGTTGCTCTTGGAAGCTGTTCTGGGAGTGAAAGAAAATGTAATTGTTATGTCCACAGGGGACTGTACAATGTTGCAGAGTGCTCTGGTGTCTGCACAGCCATGGATACAGCACACACAAATGTATATGGCCTGTGGCTAGACACTCTCCTTACCCTGGATACCCTGGTTACTGGAGGTGTGGTAGACCTGTACAGTGCTCCAGGCCTCAGTCATCCCTGCCTGCTGGGCAATGCCAGGCTTTGCTGGCCACAGCAGGAGGTGTAGAGTCTTTGAAACTCTCCTATTTCTCAGCACCAGCATCTGCCTTCAGTCTTAGCTTAGACGTCATCTCCTCAGTCCTGGAGCCACAAAGCCCAACGCAAGGGCAGGCTGGTGACAGCCTCATTCAGAACTGCAAATCATGTAGCACCTTGTAGGAGAGACTGTCCTTATCAGACAAGCTGGTGGTATTCAGACCCACCTCTTGTGTGACCTGGCACCCTTGTGGTGGCCTCCATCTTAGTAGGTTATCCCCCTCCTCTGCCAGTTCAATGTCCTATAGAACTGGTCCTAAAGCCATATGTCCTTGAAGAGCCCCTCAACTCTTCCAAGCTTTGTTTTCATCCTTTATACCTGAGGATACTGACACTTACTTCAGATAGCAACCTTAATGGCCTAATAAGGAATTGATGGAAGAAAGATTCTCTTCCCTAAGAGTATCCTGAATGGCTGGGCAGCTGAGTTTCAGAACTAGTATCCGACTCCTTGGAGAGACCAGGACAGGAGTGGGCAGGGGGGAGCACAGACCCAACTGAAGTGTCTGGACCGCAGGTGTGCCGTCTGAGGAGCCAGTCTTTGCTTTCTCTGCCTAGATTTCAGTCCAAGTTGGAATACTAGTGTGGTGTCCTTTATGCTGTAGTTTAACAACTTGTTACCAGACTCCTCATATAACACTCTTTGATCCTGTTACTGTCCTAATCCATCAATTTGACTGCAGTCCAGCTAATTTACAACTGAGATGTTTGTGGTGATGTCTCGTACCAGCAAACCAGGGATGTGTTTTCACTAGACAGCATGAGGGTTAAGTAAACAGTGGTACTTCATCCATAGAATGAATAGGATGTAATTGTAAAACAGTGCTCAAGATGGTGAGCAGGATATGATTTTTTTAGTACATTCCCATTACATGAAGGAAAAGAGACTTAACAGAAAATATGCCAAAATGTTATGATCTGTCTGAATGTTTTTCTCCTCTTCGCCCCCAATTTTTTTTTTTTGTATTTAATCTGATAGTTATATGTGTTGGGGATGTAAAAACAAAAAAGCAGGAAGTAGAGGGAGAACGCCCTCCAGATAAGGAAGACAAGGAGAATACTTTTTTGTCTGGTAGTACTAGGATTTGAACTCAAGGCCTCATACTAGGTAGGCAGATGCTATGCCACATGAGCCATCCTTCACCCTTACAGAAGCACCCTTTACTTGACATACTTATATTACTTTATAAAAAAGAAAAGTAAATTACCATTAGCTCAAATCATGGACTGTCTTTGATGCCTGCCATATAAGGATCCTCAGTTGAACCCTGTAAGTACCTTGAATCCCAGACAGGAACTGTGATGCTATCAGTTCTAGCTCTAATAATTAAAAAAAGCAGGGCTTAGATGAAATGGGAAGTGTTCCCTACCACTTCTCCAGGCACCAAAATAGATGAGGCCAAACCCTGCCCCACTGTCTAGCTTGTTTCCTTCTGAGTGAGTTGCTGCCATCACCTGCTTTTCTTCTCTGTGGTCTTGTCTGCTGATGGGTTCTGAAGCCTGTTCTGGTAGTAAGCATCAAGCGCTGTCCTGGGTACTGGGTCTCTTTGCAGAAGGGGATCCGTTTCTGTACCATGAGTTGTGTCAGAACTCAGCCTGCAGGATTAACCAGCCGCCGGGCTTCAGAGAAGCGGCATTTCACTGGGCCCTAAGAGTTCATTGATAGCTCCTCTCAACCTGGGCTCATATGCTCAAGAGCTCTGTCTGATATTTATGATTTTTCTTTCTCCTGGTGAAGCACCCTAGAAACAGGCTGAAGTGTTGTGCTGCCAAAGATTTCCTGACTTGTCATTCAGTAGCAGGACCTGAAGGGTTTATGTGGAATGCAAGTCCTGCAGGGGGGTGTCCCATCTCCACAGGGACAGGTGACCTCTCTCACTGCTCAAGTATATTTTTTTGGCCCGTAGCCCCTTTCGCTGAATTGAGACAATGGTTTTCTTGCCTTCCGGGACCTCACTAGACTTTTTGTGGCCAAAGCCCCGTGCTGTCTGAAGTCTGGATGGACCCTTGTTGAGGAACTGAGAACAACTGAGAGAAAGCCACCCCCAGGTGTCCTCTCCTGCCCTGTGGCTTGACACTGAGAGAGCTGCTAACCCCCGTCCCTGGGATTGTTCTTGTGCTGTCGTCACCCCACAAAGGCCAGCCATAGTTCGGGAGTAAGCCTTATCTCTCAGTCAACAGAACAGTTGGCTGAGCCATGGAACTCCTGTTGTAGTGTGCTGCCATTTGAGTGCTTCCTGTTATATATGTATAACTGTATTTCAGCCTTAAGCACCCATCCCACAAGTAAGAAAGGCCAGGCTTAGTGACTACGCAGCTTGTTCTCAGACAGAGCAAGGAGAAAGCCGAGATACGAAGCTGGAAGAGCTGCTGGAGCCGTCTTCCATCCACTCTGCCCCCACTGTTTCCCAGGCCTCAGCCTGCTTGAGTTTCTCAGGAAGTTTTAGTGAATGATGTGGAAAAGTACCCTTTGCCTGCTTATCTGGAGGAGGCAATGCCTCATGAGCACCTGTTGGGTTGCAGGTATTGTTCACTTCCTCTCCAGTAAGTTAGAAGTTCAGTCTCTACTGAAACTGTGAGGTTAGCATTACTGTCCTCGTGTTAGCAGTGAAGAAGACCAATCCTCTGTAACCGAGTGGTTGCTGAAAGTGTTGAGGGTATCACTGTGAGCCATGCTTTTGCCCACTAAGGCTGGCACCCAGACTACTGGGACAAAGAACCGGCAATGAGTGGGAAGTGACCAGATCCCAAGGAGCACAGATGGAACCGTGGGGACAGGTGGTACCTTGGGGCAGGTGTGTAGCTAGGGATCCAGAGAGGTTACCAGGGGCTTCCTCTCTGCCTCTGCCATTGCCCTTGCCAGTTGGCCTTGATCTTCTCTGGGGCAGCTGTGTAATTGTATATGAGCTGCTGGCTCCTTAGTCCTTCAGCACCAGGGCTATGGACTGGCTAGGGGTAAGTCTTCACCTTTGCAGTAGGACCAAAGGTGTCCTAACTCTGCCTTCTTTTCCAGGCTGTGAATTTTTCAAAGAATATAAGGACCGGGATTACATGGCCGAAGGGCTCATATTTAACTGGAAGCAGGTATGAGCAACAATATTTAACCTGTGTTTCTCTGTGAAAGGAGACTAAGGAGGACAGCTAGCTACATCTCTTTGGGAAAAATAACTACCATTTTTTTTCCCTTGCCTGAGTAGTCTCATTATTTCTTTTCTCGTCTATACATGTAAAATTCTTAAAATACATACTTTGGGCTGGGCATCAGTAGCTCACACCTCAGGAGGCTGAGATCTGAGGATCGCAATTCAAAGCCAGCCCAGGCAGGAAAGTCCATTACCTCCAGTTAACCAGCAAAAAGCCAGAAGTAGATCTGTGGCTCAAGTAGTAGAGCACTAGTCTTAAACAGAAAAGCTCCAGGATGGCACCCAAGCCCTGAGTTCAAGCCCTAAGACCAGCACAAAACAAAAACTAAAAAGTACTTTGTTCTATATGCCCCATTTTTGTTTGTGTGTGTGTGTGTTGTTTTGCCTTTGTTTGTTTGAGACAGGGTCTTTGTAGCTCAGGCTGGTCTGAAACTCATGGTTCCCCAGCCTCTGTCTCCTGATTACTAAAATTATAGGCATGTGGCATCACAACCTGCTCCTCTCCCTTTTTAATGTCTTCCATTCTAGAAGGTAATTTTTCAGGGTCAAAGTAGGAAAAGTTCTTCCTCTTCTTCAGTTCACTTTCTGCATAGAGTGGGAACAGCATTCTACTCATTCTCTAATCAACAAAGCAGGCATGGGAAATCCACTACAAGCTGGGTGCAGGTGGATCTTGCTTATTGCAGCAGCAAACACTACTCAATTGCAGTCATCTAATTTATACTTTGATTTTTTAAGCTCTCAGTGCCAGAGTAGCCCAAGCAGCTAGCCTAGAGAAGGCAAGAACTATGGAGAGATATCCTGCCTGTGGTAACCACAGCTTCAGAGCTGTGACATACTACAACCTCTTCTAGTGGTCAGTCTACATCTCACAGGTATCCTTCTGTTCCCAGGACTACGTCGATGCCCCATTGAGTATCCCCGACTTCCTGACTCACTCTCTGAACATTGATTGGAGCCAGTATCAGGTGAGGGCCTGATCAAGCAGGCAGGAGGGTGGTGGGACACCAGGGGACTCTGGATCACGAGATTCTAATACAGGCTTAATATTGTGATCGCTCTCTCCCCCTCTTTCTCCCTCTTTTTTCTCTCTCTCTGCCCTTCCTCTCTCTCCCTATTCCCTCTCTCCCCTTTTTCCCTCTCTCCCCCATTCTCCCTCTCCTCTCCTCTTCTCTCTCTCCTGTCTTTCTTCTCATTGGCTTTTGGCCCAGAAAGTCAGCTTTTTGAATGTGATTCATTGAAGGATTTTCATCCACCAGAGGGTTCTCTTTGCAGGGATCTCATGGAGCCCACTTCATGACTTTTCATTTTTCCTTTAAAATCTGTGTCCTGACAAAGAAAATGTAGAGCTGTCTGACCTCATTTGATTATAGGAACTTTAAAATTGTTTCCATTGTGTTTTTTTCCTGTCACTGTCTGCCACAGGAGGGCCCTGTTGTACTGAGTACATCTGTATCTTTGTCCTACAGGCCTCCAGTGGGCTCAGTTGCCACTTATTTGAAACAAGACAACTAGCCTTATTCCTGCCCCCTTTCCCACTTCCTGTTCTCTTTGCTTGGCTCCCCCCTCTCAGCTTCCTCTTGTCTGGCTGACACGCTGCCCCTCAGAATATGGCTCGGTGTCATCAAGAAGGGTTTCTTAATCTATATCTCCCCTCACCACCTCCTGTGCACATCTTTTATGGAATTTTCCACTGATTCTGTGAGCTCCAAGAGGATTGGGGGACCCATGGCTTATGCATGCATCCCCAGCACAGAAACAGGCATAGAGCCTAGAGCTTGAATAGCCAAGCCAGTGAATAATGAGAAGCATCTGCACCTCGGCTATTTTCCTCTGTCTCATCTGGACAACTCCCACACAGCCTCGAGGTTTCCCTTGCTTAGAGAGGCAAGGCAAGCCTACATCTGACAACTGCCCCCCCGCTTGTAACGACAGGGATCTTATTTATCTTTTCTCTGAGTATTCAACCCTAATCGCAGGATAGGTACTCAGCGGCTATTGAATGAATGAATGAATGTCAGGTGTCCCCTACGGTGGTATTAAGGGGGAGAGCGGACCAGTGGTGTGTTTTGGGCCTGATGAAGGAATATACCTGTCCATTGGTCTTACATCCCGGGCTGTGCCTAGACAAAATGAATGTCCAGAGGAACCTGCAGGCTTATGTCTTAGTCTGTTGTATGTAGAGGTCTCAGGCAGACCCTGCCCTAAGCTTCCCTTCTTGTCCCTTCTGGCACCTTTTTTTTTTTTTTTTCCATTATGCAGGTACAAACGTTCTGATGAACTACTCACCAAATAAGGTCTTAACTATAGGCCCCCAACATGCTCACTTCTTGAGAGGCTGAATGGCTTTGGGCAGAGTACTTCACTTTCCCCTAAAAGTGGGGTTGACAGCTCCTTTTCTAGGCCCTAATAGGATCCCTAGGTGCAGGTGTTCTCTGAAAGTGCCAAGCCAGGTTTCATGGTACTGAGGACACAGGCCACTGGCTAGTGTTTATTATGTCTTAGAGTCATAATAAACACTGATAAAATTGCAGTCTTCCCACAGGCCTTCTCTTCAGTGCTGCCCCGCTAGTTTGTCATCTTCAGTTCTGCCCTTTCCTGCCACTCAGCACTGGGGTCCCAGGACCCCAGTCTTCACCTCAGTGATTGTTTTGTCTATTGTCTACTGCAGGTGCCTCCTCCCAAGACATACTTGGGAGTTCTGAGTCAGGCCTCTGTGATCCTTGCAAGTGTCATTCATGCAGTCTGCTGTCCAAAATGAAGTTAGTGTGGACCACCATTTATCCAGGAGCTCAGACCTTGATGCTATCCATCTCCAAGCCCCAGTATTCTCTGGATCTCTGCCCCTGGTGAAACACTCCAGTCTTTACCTCCATCCATCTCTTGTGCACTGGGAGAGATAAATCCAGGGAGAGGCACCAACTTGTCACCTGCATATCACATAGGAAACGGAGAGAAAACAATTTAGCCTTTGAAGTGAAGGTAGAAATTTGCTAGGCAGGAGAACAAGTACCACAGGGATGGAACTAAAAAACATAATGCTTGTCCTGCTCTGCTTCCAGAAGCTTCCTGGGAAGTGGAGGATGAGCGGCAAGAAGTTTGAGTTTTCCCCAGGCCTTCCTGACAAGTCCCCTCAAACTTGTTCTTCACTTGTAGCAAAAGTCTCTACAGTGTATCATGACTAAAAATGTGGACTTTGTTTCATCCCTAAGCTTGGCAATGTGACCTTGGGCCGTCTTTCCATCGCTCTCCCTGTCTTATGGCTCCTGTCCCCAGCCCTGGGAATGTGCTTTCTCTCTCTGATTGTAGGCACCTCCTTCAGAGCTGCCCAGCTAGTTGACATTCCACAGAACCAACCTTGGTCCCTGCCCCTCCCTGGCTGCTGTACTTCCCCTCAGCCTGCCCACCCCTCACTGGGCTTCTGCTACAAGGCTCCTGCCTCGGTTCTGCTTCTCCTTGTTCCTTGAATCCTTGCTCCCTGGACATCTCTTGGCAGTGGTATGCCTCCCATGTCAAGCTCCATGCATTGAGAGACCCTTCAGTAGCTCTCCAGAGCTACTGAAAAGTGGGTCACAACTCTCTGGGGGTGCAGGAGGGTCAGGTAAATGAGCCTGCTTGAATTCCTGGGAAATCCATTGCAATTACAGGTGCTGCATTCCCCTCCCCTGCGGGAAGTGCTCTCTTGCTGGCATGCGCAGCCCTCTGCACACAGCCCAGAAAGCTGATAGGCAGTTTTGTCCATAGAGAGCAGAGGCTGTCCCCAGCTGGGGAAACGGGCTCTGCAGAACTGGGTCAGGCCCCTCCATGGAATCCCAGATTCAGAGTAGGTTGCTTCACAGGGCTTGGTCTAAACCTCTCACTTGGGCTTAGAACAGGTTTTCCTTATTTCCTATTTCCCACCTCATATAAGTCTCCTTTTTATCTGCCAAAAAGACTGTATTTATTACTCATAAAAAACATATAACCGGGCGTGATGGTGCATGTCTATAATCTCAGCACTGACAAGGCTGAGGCGTTACATGGCAAGGCCCTGTCTCCAGAAACAAAAGAAAAAAGTTAGTGACTAGCAGTGAAAAGTGGCTCATACCTTTGATCAAAAGCTGAGGTCTGAGAATCCATTCAGAGCCAGTCCAGGCAGAAAAGTCCTTGAGACTCTTATCTCCAATTACTCATCAAAAAAGCTAGATTAGAGAGGAATGGCTCAAGTGGTAGAGCACTAGGCATGAGCAAAAGAGCCAAGTGAGAGCACAAGGCCTTGAGTTCAAACTCTGTTACTGCTGACACAAAGTGAAACATGTTAAGAGAAGGTTAGTGCTGTAGTTGGTTTCTGTGATGTAAAGAGTGCAAGGAGAGGCAGAAAGGGCTCCTGGGGGCATTGAATCTCTGGGGAATGAGTGTCTCAGGTTATCTGGGGTTTGAGAGCAAAAGCCTTATCTCTTGTCACATAATAATGCTTATCAATTTTGCTTATTTTTTGTGTTGGGGATGGAACTCAGGGACTTGTTGTCCATGCACAAATATGTATGCTCAATCTCTGAGTTACACCCCCAACCAACGTTTTAGTTAGCTGGTATTTATTTTTGGCCTCTTTTTTTTTTTTTTTTTAATGGGGTATGGGACCTGAACGCTGGGCCTGGGTGCTGTCCCTCAGCTCTTCAGCTCAAGACTAGCACTACCACTTGAGCCACAGCACCACTTCCAGCCTTTTCTGCTTCTGTGGTGCTGAGGAATCAAACCCAGGGCCTCATGCATGCAAAGCAAGTGCTCTACCGCTGAGCCACCTTCCCAGCCCCTATTTTTGGCTTTTCTCACTATGTGGCCCATGCTGCCATGGAACTCGGATCACCCTTCTCTCTCTACTCCTGAGTGCTACGGTTAAAGGCCTGTGTCACCATTACAGGCCAGCATTTTGTTTGTTTGTTTGTTTTGGGTCCGGTCATGGGGCCTGAACTCTGGGCCTGGGCGCTGTCCCTCAGCTCTTCAGCTCAAGGCTTGTGCTCTACCACTTGAGCCACAGTGCCACTTCCGGCTTTTTTCTTTTTGCTTATGTGGTGCTGAGGAATCGAATCCAGGGCCTCAGGCATGCAAGGCAAGCACTCTACCACTAAGCCACCTTCCCAGCCCCGCAGGCCAGCATTTTGTTTTTGGAATATTTTAAACTCCAAACATGAATCATTAACATTTACTCCTAGATCCCTTTTCTCTCTTTTGCCCAACAGAGTTGGGACCTGGTGCAACAAACACAAAACTACCTGAAACTGCTGCTTTCTATAGTTAACAGTGATGGTGAGTCTCTCTCTCCCTGAGCCCTCAAGCCAGAGCAAACACAAGGCAGGGACATGGAGCAGTACCACCTACATCTCCTAGGTAGTCACTGTGGAGCCTAGATTCTTTCCCTGAAAGCACAAGAACTGTAGCCAAGAGAAGAGGTGCTACAGACCAAGGCATATCCCACCAAGCCAGCACCCACTTGTGGCGCTAGGCTGGAGAAGAGTCTTGAGGACCCAGAGAGGGCAGCGGGGAGGTTGGGTAGCCTGGCTCCTTCACCTGAGCCAGGGTGGCAATGCTTCCCTTCTCATCAGCCCCTGTCTGGTTCTTCCCTGGGCTCCTGTTGGTGGTGTGCAAGCAGATGACAGTGGGTTGCTGGTACACTGTATCTCAGGCTGGGATCGGACCCCCCTCTTCATCTCTCTCTTGCGCCTTTCCTTGTGGGCTGTGAGTATGGCTGGGCCCTGGGGTCGGGGAGTATTCAAGAGGCCCTGCTAATAACCTCCACCGTTAGGATACTGTGGGAACATCTCCAACGGGTAAAGATCTGGGGTGAGGGAACCACTCCCAAGGTGTCCTGCTTACCCCTGGTTTTGGGGTTCTTTGCCAGCCTGTGTTGTCACAGGGCCTGTGGATGGGGGGCAGTCCCAGGGTGAGCAAGCTTATGGTGGGAAGGCAGCTTTCCGGTCTCTTCCAGGATGGGCTCATCCACATGTCCCTGAAGCCTGCTGAGATCCTCTACCTGACTGTGGCCTACGACTGGTTCCTCTTTGGGTAAGCCTTTGTGGAAAACTGGACCTTGGGGTGGAATGGTGACTGAAATAGTGTGGTGGCTGCCATGTCAGGGTCACAAGAAGAGTTTGGTCCCCTGTCCCTTGGGAAGGACAGAGATGCTGACAGACCTCACCTGACTGTGTGTTGCTGGTGTCCAGATCTCCCTTGCCTCATTGTGGTATGGTTTCCTTTGACGTATGTGTTATCCTTTTTTCAGGCACATGTTGGTAGATCGGCTCAGCAAAGGAGAGGAGGTGAGTGCCTCTTACAGACTGTGAGCACAGCTCAAGGCTGACGGAGGGACAAAATGATGGACTGTCTGGTTGACACACTGCGGGGGGCTGCACAAAGTATGGTGGAAAAAATAGGAGCACAGAGCTCCCATCTGGACTTCAGGGTCCTCCTGCACCATGGAGAGAGCCCTGGGCGCTGAGCAGTTACCTAGCTGCCTAGGACCTATCTAGACAATTTCCTCCATTCTGGTGACCTGCTTTTCTGTGCTGATACCCACGAGCAGGTCTTTTTGTGCCCCTCATCCTCACAGCTGAAGGATAGAAGCACTTCTGTCTTTCTGGCACTTTTCAACCCCAGAGCCACCTGTGTATCCATGGTCCTGCCGCTCCTTGCTGCTGAACTGCGTCTAGACTCTGTCCTGTCTCTCCTGTCTCTCAGCATCCACTCCTCTCTCTCTGCCCATCCGTGCCTAGCCTTCTTGCTGCTTCCAAATCTTTGCCTGCCTGGTATGCTTGTTTCCCCAGCACACAGACCTGCAGTTGGACCCAAGGATGCCTGCCTCTACTTGTCTTCCCTAGAGCTGGAGTGACCTTCAATGGCCTATTTTGAGTTACTGATACCTCACTGAGGGACCCAGGTGCTCAGCATGGGAGCTGTTCCTCTTCCATCTCCCCACCCCAGCTTTGTGAAGCATCTTTCTTCTTTCTCATCCTCCTGAGCCTACCTCCTTCCTAGGCATCTTATCTCACACCACCTCCTTTTGTTGTTCCTGCTCAGCTGTTCCTCTCCCTACCAAATCTCTTCTTCTGAGCACTTATCACATCTGCCAGGACTGTGGAGCTTATAAGCCTGGTCCTCAGAGACCTCAGTGAACTGTCAGAGACAGCAAGCAACTTTGGCATTAAAATCTGGGCAGAAAGTCTCTTTGTAGCCTCTTGTTTGGGGATTTTGCTGGTTCAGGACATTCTGTCCTCCACCTCATCTCCCTTGTTCTCCAAAGCGGACCAGATGCTACCTTCAGAGACTCAGAGCGGTGATAGAGTTGAGCTAAGTGGGGTCAGAGTTCCAGCCCTGCGTTCCTCACCATGTGCAAGGGTCTCAGTAGCTGATCTCCAGGGTAATCGCTTCCCCACACCTAGACACTGACCTGCAAAGCAGCAGACAGAACCAAGGTCTATTAGGCGTCTTTGCCAGCAACCCTCCTTTGAGCTTCACAGAGTGCATTAGCACATTAAAGACTGAAAGTCTTTAATTTTATGTAACACAGTATTTTCATACTGACCTAACTTGAGCAACCCTCTGCTCTTTTGAGCAAATCTTTTGGGGCCCTGTGGGATACTGGGTAGGTGTTTCTCTGAGCAAGGGGTTTGTGGGGATTATTAGAGGCTTTTGTAGACCACACAGACAGAAGCCTTGGGTATCCACCCTGGAGTCCACTGGGGTGCTGGCTGGGCACTTATAGGAACCAGGTTGCCCATCTCACTCCCAAGCTAAGAGGGTCGCTCTGGGCCCTGAGTTCAAACCCAGTACTGCCAAAGACCTGGCCCTCACAGTTCTTGAGCAGGGCAGACACCAGGCCAAATAATGGCTACCTCCACTCCAGTTTTCTTGATCTTGTTTCTGAGTGACCTCTGCCATATGCTCCCTTTTCCTTTCCTGTATACCTGCTGTGTCATCAAACCCCAGTCCCAAGATCTTGCTCCCTGCTGTCCTCTGCCAGCTTCGTTTCCTGGGTTGCTAGATTGTTGTCTTCATCCTTCATCTTCAGCCGATAACAGGTTGAGAATGTGTGTTGAATGTGAAGGGGGCTTGGAAATTCTGACCTGGGCTCTCATTTCCTCCTTTACCCCAGCCCAATCCAGCCCAAAGGCGTCTCTTTACCAAACCCTGCTGAGCTTCATCCAAAAACTCCTGGGCCAGAATATCCAGTGGAGTGACTTCAAAGCAGGGCCTTCTCCACAGAGAGATTTACCAGAAAAACCAGCTTTTCACTCTTGGGAGTTCTGCTACTTCAGCCTTCCACACAAGCTAGCTGGTCAGCCTTTCTCTCTGGGAAAGGATATCTTACTGTATGTTGCGTTTTGTCTCCTTCAGATTTTTTTTTTCTGCTTCAATTTTTTGAAGCATATCACCTCTGAGGAGTTCTCTGCACTGAAAACCCAAAGGTAAGCGAGGCGTACTCTACAGGAGGCAAGTTACCACTTATCCCTGCCCAAATTCTCTGGCATGCACGCACTCCCTTCTTCTGGGCCCAGGCCAGGCATCCCTGCTGGGAGTCCTGAGGTGAGGAGGGCAATGAGTGATCTCTGGTGAGGAAGAAGAAGAAGAAGGCATGATACTGCAGGGAGAAGCCAGCCCACAGGACTTCCCACACTCCTAAGCTGATGGTCATTCTCCCTGGAGTCCCTGCTTCCAGCCTGGGACATGCAGGCTGCATGGCTGGTAGTTGTTTTAAAATCCAGAACCCTCAAGAATTGAGAGTTTGGTTGCCTTCCTACCCAAGGCTTCTAGCACATTAGACTTGAGTTCTCAGATGCCAAGCTAGTAAAGAGGAGATGGGAGTGCCAACCTCAGAAGTCGGTTATGTGTGTGGCATACAGAAACAGAATGGAGCCCAGAAAGGCCTACCTCTAGGTAGAACCTCCTCTCTGAGTTGCCAGGGAGTAGGAGCTATCCTCCAGGATGGGCAGGGTTGGAGGTTGGGAACAGAGGAAATTCCCTGCTTGGGTTCTTGTTCCAGGAGGAAGAGTTTGCCAGCCCGGGATGCAGGCTTCACCGTAGAAGATATCTGCATGCTGAGTGAGTCCATGGCCCCAGCGGGCTTCCCCTCCTCAGCATAGCTGAGTGTAGCCCACGCAGGAGCTGACCAGCTAGCTGGTGTGGAAGAGATGGTGGACTGGTGATGGGAGAGAATAACGTGCTGACCTGTGGCACTGGCTTCTTTCAGGGCGAAGAGACCGAGGCAGTACCACCAGCCTGGGCAGTGACTTCTCCCTGGTCATGGAGAGCTCTCCAGGGGCTTTGGGGAGCTTTACCTATGAGACTGTGGAGTTGGTCCCGGCAGGAGCACAGACTCAGGCAGCTTGGTGAGGAGCCAGACTGGGACAGAGCTTACAGCTGTGGCCCAGGGCCATCAGCCCCAGGGAGCCAGGCTAGAACCCCAGGAACAAAGGGGCCCTTGACAGAAGGTCCAAGAGCACAGCTCTATCTCCTGCTGTCTGTACGGGCACTCAGAGGCCAGCCATCTGGTTGATGAAGGGCACTGCCTGGTGGCCCAGGAGCATAAAGGGCCTGGCCTCCCTGTGGAACCAAGAAGCACTGGCCAGGTCGGGGAGGCTCCTGTCAGAGGAGCTCCCTATGCGCTGTGCCTGGTGGGGGAAGGGCAAGTTAGAGAAAGGAAACAGAATGTAAAACGGTGGTTAGTGACTAGACATACTGACGAGTCCCTCCATGGAGAACATGATAAAATCTGAGGCCCTAATGTCTTTCTCCATAGACAGTGGCAGTTTGTATAACAATTTCAGAAAGGGAAGCAGGGAGTTACTGTGCCTATTATCTAAGAATTATTTTCTGGCACATCCTCTGAGGCTGGTGGTCAGTGTAATTTGGATGCCACAGTCAGTCCCTCTATAAAGTTCTAGCCCTCGATGCCTGGGCCTTTGAGCCTGAAGAAGTACTGAGAGCCCACTGCCTGTAGCATCTTCCCCATAGGCAGAAGGCAGTCCCTGGGCTCCAGTGCTGGGCCTTCTAGGGGTCCCTGCTGACGGTCCTACTCTTCCACCTCAGGAGGAAGAGCTGCTCATCCTCCCCACAGAGTGTGCTCTGGAACCGGCCGCAGCCCTCGGAGGACCGCCTGCCTTCCCACCCAGGGCTAGCTGAAGCCAAGTCTTCCAGCTCCTCATCCTCAAACCATTCTGACAACTTTTTCAGGATGGGCAGCAGTCCCCTGGAGGTTCCCAGACCCAGGTGAGGAGTCCCAGGGCCTGGCTTACCAAGGCTGAGGGTAAGGATCCTGCACCTGAGCTGGTGTCTCTAGAGGTATCCTAGGTGGGATTCCTTGTTATATGGCCTACCGTAAAGAAGCTGCAGGCCCACTGTTGGGAAGATTTGTTAATGTTGGAACACAAAGCCAGGGCTGCTTTGTAGAGAGGTTTGAGAGTCCTTCCTGGATGGAACCTTGCCCAGTCCAGGGATCTCCAGAGAGTGCAGTGATTGTGATGTGACAGACTGGGAGTCAGGGCTGCCTCCGTGTGCTTCCAGTGATAGATACTAGCCCTCTCGGTACCGCACATTGTAATTGAAGAATCAAGTATAGATGTTCTGAGTCCCTTTGGTTCTCACATTCCATGTCCACGTTGGTGGGATAGTGAAGAGATGAGGCTGTGGGGAACCACAGCATCCCTACACACCTGGAGAAGCCACACCTCAGCCAGGATGTGTAGGGGCATGGCCAAGCAAGCTGATTAAAACTGAGCAGTAGGCCACAGGCTTAGGAGCGGAGGATGGACTGATGCTTAGGGAAACATTTCCCAATTGACCATACTACTTTATCCATTTCACACCTGTAAGGAAAGAATCCTATGGATCACTGTGCTTTCTCAAATTTTAACATCTAGTCCTTCTGGAAAGAACAAAGCAGTTGTGGCTCCAAGATACTCAAAGAATTCCAGGCTGCAAGAAGCATGAGTTCTGGGGTCCAACCCAGATCACAGCTCAGCTCTGCCATGTAATGTTCATGTATCTTCAGACTGTTTCCTCCCTGGTAATAGAGCTATTACAGGGAAAGACTTTCCAAAACGTCTGGAAGCCTCTTCCCTACTCTGGACAAAAGCAGGGAGTGAAGGAAGAAGAGCCAGATCCTCCTCCACAAGGAGGCAGGTGAGGTATAGGTGCGCAGAACCTCCAGGCTGCACTGGCCAGTCTCAGGTCCTGTGTGCTCACCCCTGCAGGTGATTGACCCAATGCTCTCTGTGCAGAGCTGAGTCTGTTAAACTAAGACCCGGAGACTTCTGCCCCACAGGGGTTATAGTAAATGCAGCTGACCAGAGACAGTGCCAGGCAGACAAGCCCACATGCCTATGCCCACTATCACCTGCCGTGCTCCCTAATCTGCATACCTGGCTGTCCTCAGGGTTGCTCAGGGGCTTCAGTGGCACTGTGGGACACTTTTTTGGCCGGTGACTGTCGCTCAGAGTTCCTGCCTCCTTTTTTTCTGTGCAATGTTGCTGGACAGAGGGAGGAAAAGAAGAGTCTATTATCTTCTGAGCCCTGTCCCAGTCTAATTGTGACAACAGCTGGGAGCGCCCACACTGACCTGCACTGGCACCCATTCCCACACCCCACCTGTGTATCCTCCTCTTCTTGCCTCGGATTCCACTTCTCAGTCCTGGGAAATCCTCTCATGAGAACTGTTTCTGTGGTGGATAACTTGTTGTTGATCCAGTATGAACACCAAGGCACCTCCTTGTGAGACTGGAGAGTTAGGGGCTCTATCTAAGCTCAAAGCCCTGCACCTAGGGCTAGGCAGAGTCTGGCATAGCAGGACCTAAATAGGCACCTTGAAGATAAGGCATGGGGCCTTGTTGTGAGGTGTTGGGAGGTTCTGCTCTATTCTAGGAGTGCCTGCCTAGAGTCTGGCCAACCAGATTCTACTGAATGTGATTTGTTTGCCAGAGGTTTTGAAAGATTAGATTATTCTGATTTGGAGCAGTCTAATTATGTATTTCTATTAACATTCAAATTAATTTAGTCTCTTTTATCTTAAAGTTCCTAAGGGATCCAGCCATTAGCAGCTCTGCCTGTTAGGTAACAGTAGCCAATCAGGTCTTTAGTGTGGCAGGAAGAACTGTACAGAAATCAATCCCTTGTGAAAGCTACCTGGGCCAGCCATACGTTCCTCCCAGCCTTTGTGTTCTGGGTTTTATGTGCTCCACAGGCCCCAGCCTCTCTTGAAGCTGGACTCCCTTGTGCAGACCCTGTGAGGTGTTGCCAGGTTGGGAGGGAAGTTCTTTAGAGTCCCAGTTCCACATCCCTCACAAGAAGGACAGGTGGCTTTTTAATACCTTTCACCACTGCTAAAACATCATCTACAGGGCTGGCGAGTGCTCTGAGCCCAGAGCAGCTCCCCCAGCTCTGACTAGGAAGTCACTCTGCCCCAGCTCAGCGGGGCCTTGGTCTCTGCTCTGGAGTCAGACATCTAGGGAAAACGGGATTGCTTGCACAGCATCATCCGTACCCAAGGAGGATGCTGCCACCACTGAGCTCAGTTTGAAGCCAGGCTGCCTGCAGAGCAGATGAACTTGTCTGAGGCTGACCAGCAGCCCGGTTGAATAGCTAAGTAGCAATACAGGAACCAACTGCCACTGCTCAGTTAGCTGCTCACCCAGCCACTGCCACTTGCTAACTGCCTCATTAAAAGCAGGGAGTTCTGTCCCAGGCTGTCTTTCCCACCTCTCTCCTCATCTCCCCCCCTTCTACCCCCTCATTCCTGGAACTTGATCTCTAGGCCTGGGCACTGTCGCTGAGCTTTTCTGCTCAAGGCCAGTGCTCTGCCACTTGAGTTCCACTGCTGACTTTTTGTGTTTAATTGGGGGTAAGAGTCTCATGGACTTTGCTACCCCAGCTGGCTTTGAACCAAGATTCCTCAGATCTCAGCCTTCTGAGTAGCTAGGATTAGTACCAGCTTGAGCCACCCGTGCCTGGCCCCCAGACAGTCTTTGAGGCAGAGAAGCCAGACTCCTCTCTGCAACACACAGTACCTATCCCATATCTGGTTGTTCCTTCCTGGGGCCCCGGCTCCAGGCTTGTTGAGAAGCAGCTGGCAACATAGGAAGCTTGAAGCCAAAAAAAAACTGCTGTAGGAGGACAGAAGTCCTCAGAGGATGATGTGCACGCTCAGTCCTAGTGCTGTTCACTCAGGACTTGGATGGGGCATCTTTGAGAAGCATCCTTGGGTGGGCCGATTGGTTCTGGAAGGATTAGTTTAGATTTGGTGACATACAGACCCCCCTAAAACCCTAATTTCACTCAGTACTAATTCCTTTCATGACTTTGTACATGTTACTTGATGAATTTTGTCTCCACTTTCTGGTCTGTGTAATCAGAGACCTAAGAGAGACAACTGCAGAGTCCCATTTTAGCTTTGTATTTTCAATTCTACTGCAGACTGGTTGGTTGAGATACTTCCAAATGAAAGTACCAGAAAACACATCCAAAACTAGTTCAACATTGTTTAAGAGAAAGATATGGAAGAGTCCAGTGGAAATGCAGCCTTGAGGTATAGCCTGATCCAGCTTCCAACTCCATTTCTCTGTGGTCTTTGTCTCCTACCTCCTTCCATGTGCCAGTTTGATCACCTGGCCAACTTCCTTCATTGTGGCCAAACTGCTGTTGGCAGCTTCTGAGACCACATCTGGCTTCCTTTCTCAAGCCTAGAGATCACTGTTAGAAAGCTTCATGCTCTACTTTGGTTGGAGAATATATATGTCCATCTACAAACCAGCCCTTATTGTCTTCACCCTTGTTAAAAAGGAAAAGCTTTGTACATTGGCTAGGATGGGCTTTGACCAGACTTCATTTCACTCAGTTTTGCCCTTCCTCACTGTGACTTAGAAAAAATCACTAACCTGAGCTTAGCTTCCTTTCATCCCAATTTTTCCAAGTGAGAACATTGATTCTGGGTTTGGATTGAAATGTGATAATGAAGTACCTAGCACATAGGTTTGTAAGCTAGAGCTGTGATTCAAGGACCTTTCTCAGTCATTTCTCTGCAGACCTATGGGACACTTGAGGGCACTGGCACCTGGTAAAAGGCCAGATCTAGCATCCCACCCAGAGCCATCTATTCTTGCCCGTGTTCAAGCTGCTCTGCTTGTATCCAGAAAGGACTGTCTAGAAGACCTGTGCTCTGGGTCTGTCTTAAGGCACCTGGCAGGAGCAGGAAGAGTGAGAATTTTAGGCTCTGAGCCAGGGCCTGGGCTGTGTCCTCAAGGAGTGAAATGTCGCTGAGAATCTAACCTCCTGCACAGAGGTTCTAGGCTCCAAGATGTGGGCAGATGACCTCTGTAGCTTTGTGGTGTTGTAGTTTGAGGGTAATTTGGTCATATTCCTACTAGTCCAGAGTGGTAGAGCAGTGGAAGGCAGAGCACATTGTAGGAGCACAGGCAGAAAGCCACTGTGATCTTACTAAGCAACTCAGATGAACCTGTATACGTGGCTGAATATGTCACAGCCAGGAGTCACACATGCCTGTAATCGTAGCTACTTAGGAAGCTGAGATCTGAGGATCTCAGTTTGAAGCCAGCTTGGACAGGAAAGTCTATGAGGCTCTTACATCCAATTAACCACCAAAAAGCCAAAAGTAGTGCTGTGGCTCAAGTGGTAGAACACTGGCCTTGAGCAAAAAAGCTCAAGAATAGCACCCAGGCCCTGAGTTCAAGCTGTAGAACTGGCATAAAACACCAGTGTAGATAGATGTAGGTCCCTCTTTCCTGGGTCTCTAGGTGGCCCTTGAACCTGCTAATCCAGTCCACTATTTCTGAAACCCTGCTTATTAAAGCATGCTTCTTATTTTCAAATGTGGGAACTGGTCACTTGCTACCTGTTCATTGACAAAACCTCCAACAGGAAGATTCATTTGAAACTTGTGTTTATCCTTGAAAAATGTCAAGGACCATCCAAGATGGCTGCCTACTGAGAGCTGTTTCTGGTCTGTAGGATCACATACCTTCTACTGCCCCCTGTGCTGCTTAACCTAACAGCCACCCTCTGCTGCCTTGGGTGTGCTTCTTGCTTGGACCCCAGGGAAGCAAAGGGAAGTTTCAACATAGGTGACCAGGAATCCTTGAAGGGAGCCAGGCTAGAACTCTCTCTGTTGTCTGTGGAACTCTCTGTTGTCGGTGGCTTTGCTAAAGGCAAGGTTATCCTTGGATTGCTTTAAGAGTCAGGTATGGTTAGGGGCATAAGAAATTTCCAAAGGGCTGGGAAGGTGGCTCAGTGGTAGAGTGCTTGCCTCGCATGCATGAGGCTCTGGGTTTGATTCCTCAGCAGCACAGAAAAAGCCAGAAGTGGTGCTGTGGCTCAAGTGCTAGCCTTGAGCTGAAGAGCTGAGGGACAGCGCCCAGGCCCAGCGTTCAGCCCCACAACTGAAAAAAAAAAAAAAAAACCACCAAAAAGTTCCCAAGCCAAGTGTTGTGGCACATGTTAAGGTTGAGGCCAGCCTGGGCAAATTTAGCAAGGCTCTCTTTCAAGAACAAAAGGGTTGGAGAATGTGTAGCTCAAGTGATACTATGCATGCCTGCAACTGTGAGGCTCCGTATTCCATCCACATTACTTCCTTGGTTGGAGGGAGTGACACCATGTTTCTTGCTTTCACCTTCCCAACTTTCAGTCCCTCAGCATTGGTCATTAGAGCCTGTTTCCTGTTCTCTATAGTGCAAACCACAGGAGAGACTGAGGAGCCAGTCTCTGCCTCTAGGGGGGTTGGGCTGGCTCAGAGCCCAGTGTGGCCTGGAAGAAGCCCAGGGCAGGCTTCTCCTGGGAAGTTGTCTCTTTGATTTACAGACTGCCTGAGCCCAGCCAAGTTTCTCCATCTAGAAACTAGGAAGCCCTGCTCTGTCAGACCCTAGAGGTTTCTGTCAGGTAGCAGACCATGTCCTGTTCTCAACCCTAATGGTGCCATCACAGACCTTGTAGAGCGTAGGACAGTGATGAATGTGGTGAGTCTGTATGTCACAGGGGTTCCAGTTCAGCACAGCTTTAACGTAAAAATCCATCTGTTCTCCGTTGTCTCAAGGTGGTTTGTTTCAGGACAAATCTGCAATCAGACTTGGGTTTACCGATCTCTCCCGCTCATTGGCTGTTGGGCCTCAAGCAAGTGTCATAACTCATCTAGGCTGCTACTTCCCCATCTGCAGCAGGATGGTTAAGGATCACCAGAACTGCATGGCTGGTGGGGGCTACCATGGGAGGTCTCCTTGCCAGCCAGCTGGGTAGGCCAGGGTCAGTGAGTGTTTTGCTCTGTTTCCCAGCCCCATTGGCAATTTGTGCTGTTTCTGGGACCCTGCTTGGGCCCCTTCCAATGTTGAGGAGTAAAGAATAAAGGGTCACACATCAGACAATGCACTCCGGGGACTGGGACCTGCAGTAGGTGATGGAAGCCCTTTGCTTGGTTCCTCCCTGTCCTCTCCTGACCTCCACTAAGCCAGGCTGCTACCAGGACACAGGAGAGGGGTTGGCTGTGAGGAGGGAGGAGGTGGCAGCCGTAGATTCCCAGCACATCTTTCCTCCCCCAGATCTCCATCAGAAAAAGGCTTGAGGAAGCTGTCTCGTTGCCTGCCTGATTCATCCTTTCCCTCTGGGCATAGCCCATGAGTTTGCTGAGTGACACTTCTGAGTACAGACTCTGGGTCCTGGAAGGCACTGCAAAGGAAAAGGGACCTCAGGGCTGCCGTCCACTCACTCTTCAATCTAGGTCACCACCCTTCACAGTTCCCAAGGGGCCTGTCCTCTCTCCCCTCAGATCAGATCTCAGCGGTCCTACATTCTGCCCTTCCCACCCTGCACATCTGCGTGTCAGAAAGAATGGGGGGCCCGGGCCCAGCCTCCTGCCTTGCTCCCTCCTTGGTGCTGTTGAGGTTTTGCTTGCTACATCAACCACCAGGACAAGCACGTCTTGCTCTGGCTTTGGATCTGACTCACCTCTTCCTCCCTGCTTTGCTTTGGTTCTTTTGCTTCTGTAATCTGCTGTACAAAGCACTGTCCTCGTAGCCAGGTGGACCTTACAGTCTCTTCTTTCTCAGGCTCTACTAACCCAGCTTTGTTGGCACTTGTGAAGGAAGTGGTTGGCTTTTGACTTGCAGACATGGCCCAGGGCCACTGTATCCCCCCAAGGCCTCCCTGTCAGGCACATAACTGACTATGCATCATCTCCCCTCTCTCTCTTCTCTGCCCCAGATCAGTGGACCATCCCCTGCCCGGATCCTCTCTCTCCACAGACTTTGGCAGCTGGCAGATGGTAACGGGCTGTGGCAGTATTCAGGAACGGGCTGTCCTGCACACAGACTCCTCTCTCCCTTTCAGCTTCCCGGATGAGCTCCCTAACAGTTGTCTGTAAGTGTCTTGCTTGAGGAGGCAGGATGCTCCCCTGCTCCTGTCACAAGCCAGTGAGCAGGCCGGACTGGTCAGGAACACGACAGAGGCCATCCCCAGGGAACCGCTTGGGATCCCTGCTTGCAGCTTGCTGGACTTCCCATGGCGCCAGGGAGGCTATGGGCTGCTGAGGAAGTGCATTAGGGTTCACGTTGACTCTTCCCAGCCTCCAAAACCATCCACAGTATGTCAGGTGTGCCCTGAGGGAAAGCTGGCTGGACTGTAACTATAGAAGATTCTATTTCTGTACAAGGCTTTGCCTGACATGAGAATCCTTTGAAAGCAGAACAGTGAGGTAGGAAGGTGGGTGTGTATGCTGGAGGCCATGGCCAGAGTGGTGCTCAGTCCTGGTCTGTACTTCTGAGCAGAGCCAACGGTCACTTTCTTGCACCCTCACACACTTACCTTGTGTGCCACTTTTGCCTTTGAGCAGCAGAAAGACTCAGATAACAATTCTAGATTGCATGATTGCAAAATCCTTCCTCCGAGGCTCCACAACTGGACTGCCATATCTTAGAGGACTTAGAAATGATGTGAGCCACTGACCCTGCCCCCTGCTTGTGTGCTGCTATACAGATGTCAGGCAGGGCTCCCTCCAGTGATAGGAAACAGGGCTTGCTCCCAGATGCACCCAGAAATGAGCTTTTCTCTCACCTCCACACTGAGGGCTAGATAGCTTCAAATGCTGGAGCCCCAACCCCTACCACCAGAATCCAACTCATACCTACACCTGCTGGCTGGCCGGAAGCAGGGTGCCTTGTGGTTGGACAGGAGGGGCTCTGGTTCCGGCTGAAGGCAGACAGGGGCCGCCAGACCTTGAGATCAAGGATTATGTTCACAGGTCCAGACCTTGTGGCTGGGAAGTCACCAAAGTGTCTTTGAGCCTCCTGTGCCTGGACCACCCTCCTTGCAGCCAGGCACTACATCTGAAGCAAGATAGCTTGGATTTTTAGAAGGGGGGGGAAAAGACTTGGACTTCTCATTAGGAACTTCCTGTTCAGCCAGAATGTCCTGAGAGCCATCTATGACAGCAACACAGACAGCGACCACCCTTCACCCTCCCCTATTTGAAGCACCACAGTGGGCAGTGCCTGCCTCAGGCCACCCAGTTCAGGCCCTGCAAATGGGGCCTCAGATTGTACTTCTGAGCCCCAAAGCAACCATCTAGGTCTGGAAAGTTGGCCGAGAACAGCTGTGTGATCTCAAGCCTCCAGGTGGTGGGTTGGAGTCCCGTCAGTTCTTGGTGAAGCTTAGTCTCAGGGAAACGTCTCAATCCTAGCGGCTCTGCCCAGCCGCTGTCTCAGTCATGGTCTCAGCCTTGACTTCTCCAAGTCTCTTAGCCCAGCTCTGGACAGGGAATGGCACTCCGGTAGGTCTGTTGCCTGCGGTCTGGGCTCCAGTTTTCTATCTCTGAATAGGTTGGCCTCTGTTCTTCTGCTTCCAGCCCAGGGGCAGGCAGGGGCAGGCAGGAGGAGCAAGTGTAGACCTGTAGATGTTCCATTTCTTCACTTAGGCTGGAAGCTAAGGGACACACTTCTGGTGTCCAGACCATGTGAAATGGAATAGAAAGTAAAGTTCTGGGGCCATGTGTCTTTCCCCAAACACACAGGGTTGCGCTCCCATGTCAAAGGAATCCCACACAAGCTCATTTCTGGTGCTGCTGCAGGAGCTGTTTGACTTCCCCCAAGCCTGCAGCTTCTCTCTGCTTCCCAGCCCAATCCCATCTGTGTGCTTCCTGGGCTCCTGCTTGGCCCAGTCCTCAGACCTCCATCTGTTCCCCTAAACCTTGGGCTTGGGAATGTGGCTGTGTCTGACAGATTCCCAGAGATAGTTTAGGGGGTAGGAAGGAATAGTCCCAGTGCCAAGGTAGATGAGAATTAGGGGTGCATCCCACAGCCCTGGGAGGACTCTCCAGTAGAGACTGTGGAGGGACAGCATGCAAGACCCGACCTGTCCACAGTGGGTGGAGCTGGTAACTTGGGCCTTATTTAATTTAAAAAAATATATTTTTTTTTTATTTAGTTTCAGTCTTGGGGCCTGAACTCAAGGCCTAGGCAACATTCCTTAGCTTTTTGGCTCAAATGCCACTTCCTGTTTTCTGGTGGTTAATTGAAGATAAGTCTCACAACTTTCTTGCCTGGGTGGCTTTGAACCTTGATCCTCAGAGCTCAGCCTCTTGAGTAGCTAGGATTATAAGCATGGCCCAGCTTCGGGCCTTTTTTTTTTTTTAATCAAAGACTTGATATTAGCCAGCCTCATATGGAGGCTGTAATGCCAGATAAAGAGAGAAGAGAAACTTCTGTCAGTGTCCAGAAAGGCCAGGGAAGGAGAAAGTATCAGCACACATCACCTGGAAAAACAATCATCTTCATCTTACCAGCAGTCAGGGACAGGTGTAGCTAAGCCTAGTGGTTTCTACCAAGAGACCTGGTCTCTGCAGGGCCAGAGCTTCCTCCCAAGTACTATCAGGTCCCAGCTTCAAGAAGGCTGAGGCTTCTAGTAGCTGAGGCCTGCTGCCCGATGGGGGGAGTTTCCTTACTGGAAGGTATGGGGGTGGGGGAGCTTACCTTAGCTTGTTCTTCCTAAAGTATGAAAATGAAAAACAGTTGCTTCTCTCCTCCCCTCCTCCCCCACCACCACAGGAATAGACATTTTCACAACAGAAAGTTCAGGTCAGTGCTCCCTTAAAGTTACTGTTCTGGGTACCAGAGGCTCATGCCTCTAGTCCTAGCTACTCAGGAAGCTGCGAGGAGGATCAAGGTTCAACACAGGGAAAAAAAGGAAGTAGAGCTGTGACTCAAGTGGAAGAGCCCTAGCCTTAAGCAAAATAAACTCTGGGACAATGCCCAAGCACTGAGTTCAAGCCCCAGGACTGGCACCAAAAAAAAAAAAAATGCGCACTGGTGGCTCAAGCCTGTAATTAATCCTAACTACTTTGGAGGCTGAGATCTGAGGATTGTGGTCCAAAGCCAGCCTGAGCAGAAAAGTCTGTGATACTCTTCTTTCCAATTAGCCACCAAAAAACTGGGAGTGTCACTATCCTTGAGCAAAAAGCTCAGGGACAATGCCCAGGACCTGAGTTCAAGCCTCAGGAAAGACAAAAAAAGTTATTGCTCTTAGGTGGAAAGAGGAGCCCATGGCCAAATATCTAAGCTATCTGACCAGAGGATAGATGCTGGCTGGATTCTGTGGTGTAAGGGGGGTGTTGGATCCTACCCGGTGTGAAGCATTCATTCTCTTCCCCCTTTCCCATAGGCTTGCAGCCCTGAGTGATCGTGAGGCGCGGCTGCAGGAGGTGCGCTCAGCCTTCCTGGCTGCCTACAGCCGCACCGTGGGGCTCCGGGCAGCAGCACCCAGTCCCTCTGGTGCCATTGGGGGTCTGCTGGAACAGTTTGTCCGCGGTGTTGGCCTCCGGGGCACCAGCACCACCACTTTGTGAAGCAGCCAGCCCAAAGTTTCCTGCTCCTCTCTCAGCTGAGCCTTAGTGGAATCAAAGCCATGCCTGGCCAAGGGATACTTGGAGTTCCGGGGCGAGTCTCACATCCCCGTTCACCATGCACATGGCAGCCCCAAAGCTGAGCAGGGCCAAGGACAGGGTTTTCTAACCCCCAGCCTCCTGACTGGTAACTGCTGCCCCTTATCACTGCCTCTTACCTACCCCACTCTGCAGAAGTCCATCAACTCAGAACTGTGTTGGATTTCCCTGGGGTCCTGTAGCGGCCCTGACATCATAAAGGAGCCCAATCTCAATTCTTATTTCCTGAGAAGGAGGGGTTTTCTGCACTGAGAATGAGGTGACTTGACACCAATCACAAAATAAAGTCAAGGTTTTTTGGAACAGCCATTCCTCTGCTTTCTCATTTGGTTACTCTTTGTAGCCATTTGGAACTATGTCTTTGTGTTGTATGAGTGGTAATTTGGTTTTGGTTTTTTTTATGGGGGTAGGGGAGACCTGGAATAGGAAAGTCATTAGAGTCAGCTTTGTCCTTCAACACTTGAGCTTTGAAGGTGGCCGTGGATGCCTGAAGTCAAAGTGGGAGAAGGGTCCCCAAACTCAGTGGGCCCTCGTCACCTATGGCTGTGATTCCAGGGCCACCTGGGATCTTCATTTGCTCAGATTAAGAAACTTCATCTCTAGCAATGTCTGAGGCAGCGTGGACCTCGTGTAAGGAGCCTGCAGCCCCTGCTCTCCCTGTGGTGGAGGGCCTGGCATCTGGATTTGGGAAGCAGTAGTTGGTGCACATGTGGAGGAAAGGGCCAGAAGCCTTTCGTACTGCAGTGTGAGCACACTGCATAGTGGATGTCAAAAGGCTTCAGAGGAGGCTGAGCCCTGGTGGCTCACACCTGTAATCCTAGTCTCAGAAGGCTGAGAGTTGAAGCCAGCCAGGGCAGAAGAATAACTAAGACATCTCCAGCTAACTGTCAAAAAGCCAGAAAGAGACATGTGGCTCAAGTGGTAGAGCAGTCAGCCTTAAGCAGAAAAGACTGAGGATCAGGGTCCCCAGTTCAAGCCCCCATGCTGGTAAGCACAAAAAGTCTTCAAAAGCCTGAGCAGGTTCTTCAACAGCTACCATGGATTTATTTTCCTGTTCTTAGATTGCTGGAGATCTTACAAATCTCCCAAGTAGGGGCTGTCATTGCCCAGGGATACTGAGAAACTTGCCCAAGGTCACACAGTTGTTGCTGGGACTAAGAACAAATGTAACTTCTCCTTTTTGGAGACCCAGGTAAACCAGAAATGGAAGAGACTGATAGGGAGCCAGGCTCTAGAGGCTCCGGCCCCGACCTCCGCCGGGTATTTCAGCACCAGGGCTAGTTCCGAGGCGTGCATTCCTGCCCTGACCGAAGCCCTGCTCCCGGTGCAGGTCAGAGTCGGGGTCCGGTCCGGGTAGGGTTCCCCACGCTGGCTCCCGCCCGCTCCCGTGGGGCGGGGGGCCGCCCGTGGGGCCGGGCGGGGCCGTGCTGCCATCTGGAGCCGCCGCCGCCGGCCACATAGCCTCAGCCACAGTCGGGGCGCGAGCGGAGGAAGCCGCCAGGGCTGGAGGAGCCGCCGCCGCCGCCGCCGCGCACGGGCCGCCCCTAGCCCGGGCGGCCGGGCACGCGGGCGGCCGGACACGCGCAGCCCCCCGCCGCTTCAGCCACTCCACCCACCATGTCTCTCGGCGGAGCCTCGGAGCGCAGCGTCCCGGCCACCAAGATTGAAATCACCGTGTCCTGCCGGTGAGCGGGCCGCGCTGGGGGGGGTCTGCAGACGGGGGGGGGGGGGGGACTAGACCCGAGGGGGGGCCGGGCCGCGCTGGTGGGGTCTGCGGACGGGGGGGGGGAACTAGACCCGAGGGGGGGCCGGGCCGCGCTGGGGGGTCTGCAGACGAGGGGAGAACTAGACCCGAGGGGGGGCCGGGCCGCGCTGGGGGGGGTCTGCGGACAGGGGGGAGAACTAGACCCGAGGGGGTCCGGGCCGCGCTGGGGGGGTCTGCGGACAGGGGGGGAACTAGACCCGAGGGGGGGCCGGGCCGCGCTGGGGGGGGTCTGCGGACAGGGGGGAGAACTAGACCCGAGGGGGGCCGGGCCGCGCTGGGGGGGTCTGCGGACAGGGGGGAGAACTAGACCCGAGGGGGGGCCGGCGCGGGAGACCCGGTCGCTTGCTGGCGGGATGGGGGGTCTCCAGGGGCAGCCTCGCCCCGCAAGAAGGGCTCCAGGGCGGGTCTGCGGCCCCAGGGGCGGGTCGCGGGGCCGGGCATGGGGGCCGAGCTGGGTCCCAGGACGACGAAGTTTGGAGCGAGCCCCTCTGCGGGGCCGGGGGGTGGGGGGGGCACACGGGCATCGGGACGGCAGAGGGGTGGAGGCGGCCCGGGTCCGGGCGGAGGTTTCCGGCGCTGTCCGGGGTGCCGGCACTGCGGGACACCCCACACACGGGGGGGGGGGGGGCGGGGGAAGGGGGCGCGATCCGAGCCCCAAGTCCCCAGAACGACCGCGCTCGGCGTCGCTTTCCCCCTAGGAGCCTGCTAGACCTGGACACCTTCTCCAAGTCTGACCCCAGTAAGCGGCCGCGGGGGCCGGGAGGGGAGTGGGGTCGGGACGCGACCCGAGGGCCGGCGGGCGCGGCGCGGGGTGCCGCCGCCCTGACGTCCCCCCCACCCCGCTCCCGCCGCAGTGGTGGTGCTTTACACTCAGAGCCGGGCCAGCCAGGAGTGGCGGGAGGTGAGTGCGAGACCCCCTGCCCTGCCCCGGCCCGCCGCACGCCCCGGGCCGACTCTCCACACCCCCCACCCCCAGTTCGGACGGACCGAGGTGATTGACAACACGCTTAACCCCGACTTCGTGCGCAAATTCGTCCTGGACTATTTCTTTGAGGAGAAGCAGAACCTGCGCTTCGATGTGTGAGGCCCCGCCCAGAAGTCAGGCTTGGCCCCGCCCCCGACCTGGATCGGCCCCGGGTTCCCGTGGCCCCGCCCCCAAGCCCACCTGGGTCTCAATCAGAAAAGAGCCCACTTAGGCCTAGCCCCGCCCCACGCCCAGGTGAGCCTCGCTCCGGGACAGCGTCCAGCAGCCGGTCTGGGGTGCTCACCTTAACTTCCCCTCGGAAGTCCAAGGCTGCCCCTCCCCACAGGCGCAGAGCCTGGCCCCTTCCCCGCCCCTCTCCCACCCAGTCCCACCCCACGCTGGTTCGACTCTCTCCCCAGGTACAATGTGGATTCCAAAACCAACATCTCCAAACCGGTAAGCAAGCGGGCCCCTTCTGGCCCACGAAGGCGCTCAGGTGAACCCCACAACCTCCCCAGAGCTCCTCCCACCCCGCCCCCTCTTCAGCCCCCAGCCCCAGCCTGCTCCTGCCCGGTTCTCCTGCTTGCACCCCTTCCTCATTGCTTCTCTTCCTTCTCGGCGGCCTCCGCTGGACCTGCAGAAGGTGAGGCTGAATGAAGGGGGCCGATGTGGGCGTGGGACAGTATGGTGAGACCAAGAAGCAGAGCTGGCCTGTGGACAGGGCAGTGGCGCTGGCAGTGTTCTGAGTCTCAGAATTACCCCAGCTACAGCCAGGGGCTGCAGGGCCAGGGAGGGTTGGGCTGGGCCTTCCTCCATCCCTGCCCCAGACCTCACTGACTGTGTCCTGGAGCAGGATTTCCTGGGACAGGCGTTCCTAGCCCTAGGAGAGGTGATCGGAGGCCAGGGCAGCCGTGTAGAGCGACCCCTCACGTGAGCTGAAAGGGAAGGGATGCGGGGAGGGACGGGAACCCCTCCCAGACTTTCCTTCCCAGGGTCAGTGGTGGCTGGGACTGGCACTGATCAGGAGACTTCCCCATGGGCCAGCACCCCTGGAGAAAGATCTCTAGGCTCTGCTCAAAGCCACCTCAGGTTTGGCAGGTCCCCTTCTCTCTTCACTCTTCCTTAAGTCTCAAGGAACCTTCCAGGTCACTCCGGAAGCTTTGAGGAACTAAACCAAATCCTCTGGCATCGCCATTACATTCCTCACAACCACATATTAACCAGTTCTAGACACCTGTTCCAGGCACTAGGGATTCACCTATTCTACCACCTGTACTGAGCACATATTCAATGTCAGCCCAGATTCAAGGGTGGAGTCCCCCCCAACACACACACACACACACACACACACACACACACACACGCACGCACACACACACACCCTCCCGGAGCTCATGCAATACTTGACAGGATGGTCAAGAAGCCCTCAGAGGCTGGCTTTACCCAGGGTGGAGGAACAAGCCCCAGGCACAGGCCAATGACAGTGCAAAGTCTGGCTCATTTGGTAGGGAGACAAGTGTGGCTGGAGGGGTGAAGGCAGGAGGGTGAGGTTGGAGAATGACCAGTTAGAGCCTTATAGCCTCTAGGACTTGAGCTTTAACTCTGCTGGGGGTCACAGCAGGGGTCTGAGCAGAAGCGTGACCGTACTGACTGCTGGGGGAGAGAACAATGTAGAAGCAGGGAGAAATTAGAAGGTTAATATAGTCTGGAATGTTGGTGCTTGTCTGTAATCCCAACTAATTGGAAGGCTGAGACAGGAGACAGGAGCATTGAGGTTCCTAGACAATCCTGGCAAAAGTTATTGAGACCTTATCCCAAACCAGCCAGTGTGATGGAATATGCCTATGGTCAGCTATCTAGGAGGTGAAGGTAGAAGCATCTTGATCTACAACAGATCTGACCCTATCTGAAAACAAAAACCAAAGGACTAGAGGGGGTGGCTCAAATGATAAAGTACTTGCCTAGCAATCAGAAGGCTCTGAGCTCAATTCTGAGTCTACCAAAAAGGTTATTATCCACTACCACTGTACAGCTAGCTAGCTGTGAAAGAGGGAAGAAGTGGTCAGTTTCTGGATATATTTTGAAGGAGGAGCTGACAGATTCCTGATAGAGTGAATGAGTGGGAGACAAATAGAGCAGTTGCTGAAGAGGTCAAGGCCTTTGGCCTGAGCAACAGGAAAGAGAGAATTGTGCCACCAGTCCAAATGGTCTTACAGGCTCAATCCTGAAATCCTAGCTACTTCAGGAGGCTGAGATTTGAGCATCCTAGTTCAAAATCAGCTCTGGCATGAGACTTATCTCTAAATAACCACCAAAAGTGGAATTGTGGGCCAAGTGGTAGAGCACCAGCTTTAAGCAAACAAGACAAAATAAAACAAAACAAAACAAAAAACTCAGGGATAACACCCCAGGCAAACTTCAGTATTGGCGTGTACACACACACACACACACACACACACACACAACAATGGAAGAGCCAGTTGGAAGGACTCAGCAGTTCAGTCTGACATGTTGAATTTCTTATGTTCTGTCAGATATCAAAGGGACCTATCAAATAAACAATAAGATACATGAAATGTA